GCTGCAAACCTGAAGCTGTCACACTGGAGATTTACTTTATTATTTTGGTTTAAAAACAACATGAAAAAGTGATGGAGGAAAATGTTCAAGCGACTTAACAAATATAGTTGCAAATAGGGATGCAGCGATTACTGGATTTCACTGGATAAAACTATGGCATAGGGACCAAACTGTGAAGTACTCTGACCAGGGCGTTATTTAAGAGGTGACAGATCACCTGTTCAGAAATGCAGTTAATAGGTTGCTGCATTAAATTTGATGCCATGGCCGTCTGTTACTGTGTCAAGCGACATGCACCGCATCGCAAGCCGCTGCCAAAGTAGTTGAACTTTTGCGCTGTACCCAGCTTCCAGCGCAGCGCAACACGCTTCTTTTCTGAAAGGGCCTTCATGGAAGACAGAACGTAGTCCTCTCAAGACCTTCAGTCACTGAACATTTAACGTTAAATCCTGCCGCCTCCTCCTGTCTGTGTTGAGAAAATGTTGCTAAGTGTAAAACACTAACATAACATCAGGAGCTTATAAACATCCAGGACTACCAATTACCTGCATTTCAGTTATTAATAACACTGTTTATTCCCCTCCTTAATAACAGTTTCCCCTGGGTATAAATAAAGTTAATATTCATTAATGAAATATAATTATTAATGTAATAAAATATTAAAAATTACTAGTTTATTCCTGAGACTTTAATCTACCAACAAAATCTATAATCGTATAAACTGTGTGAAATGGGCAAATATTAGCCAAGCATTGGACTCCTTCCTGTCACAGCAGGATATTTAATAAGATTATAATATCATAATATAGTATTGTATAATACTTACACAATAGTTTAGTTGAGGTGTAGCCACACTAAATTGTTGCCTCAGTATTCCTAATTTTACACGAGGCTACATCTTTCTGTTTAGTGCACTGCATTGTTGTGCTGAGACAAAAGGAGAATAGACTAAACACACACCCTTGTTGTGCACCTTTGCTAATACTCAAAGCTTAACTGTGTTATTGATTTATACCTGTTGCAGGAAGACTGAGACCAAAATGATTGAGTAACTCTCAGGCTGTTTAACAGCTGTCAAACTGATGATTAATTGTTAAACTGATAAAATGTTAGTCATTTATCAAAGAAAAATAAACATCCCAGTCATCTGAAAAAGGCACATGCTTATTTTATAATGCTACTGACTTGCACAAGGTTTCTATCAGTGTAATCAGTGAAGTGTTACACTGCATCCTAGACAGTCCTGCTATCTACAGCCAACCTGAAAACATACTTTTGTGGTGCAGCAATTTACCATGCAAATTGCAACAATATTAACAACAGCCTGCATGTGTTTCCTCAGCAAACACCATACTGGAAGCCTTTGTAGCAGCAGGACAAAAATCTACATCCACAAACCAGGGAGCACAGGGTAAGAATGCAAAGCTGCGGTCTATCACCTAGACTGATAAGGCCGGCTGACGTCAACCAGAAATGCAAGACTATGCACTTCTCAGGTGACCGTTAGGCAGTGTGTCAGAGTAATTAGAGTGATGACCATGGTTGTTGCATTACTAAACTATATGGTGGGCAACCACAAAGGTTCAAATGGCCTGTGAAGGTGTTCCAGGGACTCTCTAGGAAAATGTACGAAGCAGAACCTGATTCTTATGAACACATAGGACAACCCGTTTCAAAAACATGTATATATCCTCCCCAGCCCTGGCCCGTGTCTCGCAACGAAAAAGGTCAACATAGTCAGGCTATGTTTGAGTTATCCAACATCACAAAAGACACAGGCTATCAAGAGGGATTTCTACGAGCACGCATTATATGACGGGGAGTAACCCTACCAGGTATTACAACATAATCCAATGCAATACAGCTGCTCCACAATCCATGGCTTTATAATTACCAGAGAGGTGAGTCAACACCTCTGGCAAGGACAGACAGGCATTCTGTTAATTGAACATTATCAGGCATTATCTGTTACAGGGATATATAGTCACCTGCTAGGTATGGAAGTATTCTTTCTCTACTGTAAATGACCGTTTTAAAAAGGACAACAATTTAAACATTAACCTTGATGTTACTCAACAAGGAACCTGAATTATTTCACAATACCACCGAGGTTATATACGCCTCATATTCGTTCCCGTTTTTGTAACATTTGAGCGCACAATGAACATAATCACCTGCCCAGGGCTATGAAATGAAAAATGTCTAGCATTTCAAGACTTTGCCATTCAGTCAGGAACAAACACTGCACCAGAACTGATCCAAAATCCAAAACTGGACTTATGTAAATTGCTGAATTTATTCAACACGTTTGAAATAGCTCACACTCTAACTCTACACACCCGTTGCCCTTGCAGGGCAACCCAGCTGATTCAATATTTGGACTTGCGTTGACTTTTCTTTTTAAGTTAAGTACGCAGTCTTGTGCATTTGATTTCTTTTCAAATAAATGTTATCACACATACTAATTTTGCATACCAATGATCTTTGAGAAAAAGGAAGAGGACTTTCACCTCTGTAAACGTGGATGCCTAATTCTCCATGTATTGGATGTAGTGGACTGCTGTTTCCAAATCCTATTTTGGCTGGTTACAACATAGGTCTGTTAAATCTCTAATTGGTAACTTTACTCTTAGATTTTCTTGTAATTCCTTGTATGCTGATTGATACAGGTTGATTAAACCCATAGGCCCAAATGTATTTAGGACCAGTGCAGCAGTATGGTGACCTCAACATACCTGACATTCCAAGCGGCCACACTGATCATGTTCTCTATGACTTCAGATTGTGAACAATTTCTCATCTCTTATCCATTTAAAATCTTTAATTGAATTCATCACACTTACAGTGCACAAACACGTGCAGCACTGACCCAACTCTTCTATTTAAGAATATGCTCCGTCTAACAGTGTATGCAGACCAAATACCTGACTATCAGACACTTGGGTAACCTATTTTTGTGTCTATAGTGGACACAATTATCTCAGCCATAGCATACTAGTCATGAACGTGATAATGGTAGTAATAACACAGGGCTGCGGTTAGAAACTGTAGCCTAAACAAAGTGAACAGAAAGTGCACAATCAACGCTACAAAATAAGGCAAGAAGGAAGAGTAAATGATCCTGGGTTTACTGCCATATCAAAGCCTGACATTTCCAACAGGATGCTCCCTGACCATTATCCTACTGGTGTCCTACTAAAGGGACCTTCCATGAAAAACGAACCCATAATTGCTGCAGTTGAGCCTGCTGTGGGAATTAGGAAGGCTGCCATGTGACTGGTCAGATAAGGCTCAGTGGCTGGATAATTCCAGTGCCTGTGTGTGTGTGTGTGTGTGTGTGTGTGTGTGTGTGTGTGTGGTCACATGATCATCAGAGTGCAAATGTCAGTCAGCTTGAGGAATGTCTAAACCATCACACAAGGAGCTGATATTGAAAATATGCTATTTAAGCAACAGAAGCATAGGTCAAGGGCTGTTTAAACATGGGCAAACAGTAGCCAAGAGTCCTGCCTGAGAATAACACAGTTCAATAAAATATCCTAATCATTTACATATATATGAATGCAAAGGACAGTTCCATCTAATTTCCCTACGACACTGTCCTGGATGAAGGTGTCAGGGCCTGGAGTCCAGGCTGACAAAGATCAGCTGTTGCAAACCCTGGGAGTAAATTGCAACAATAATATGGCCATTAGGGATAACATATCCTGTGTGCTTACTGATAAATGCTCACCCGCATCTTACACAAGTGACCAACGCTCACTATCCATCCTCGTGCTTTGCTTGTTCTATGTAGTGCTCCTGCATATAACCTGATCTGACAGCAAAATGCTGTTATAAAAAGCACATATGATTCCATATGAGGTGAAACACATCAACTGAAGTTGCAGTATATTGGAGATCCTGCTTGATGTTGATCAGAGAGCAACCAATTTCTCCCCCCGATTGAAAAAATGCCTACAAGCTCATTCCTAAGAGGCTAAATGTAGCGACAGCAACGTGAAGCACAAGTTTGTTGTTCCACCAAATGTCCTGACCACAGTTTGTGTACAGTTTCGCAGAAGTAACCTTACAGTCTCTTAAAACAAACACTGTCGATTAACGTTGGCCCATGTCCCATGGCTGGGCTTGAAATCAGCCAGACAGAGGCTAAAAACAAACAGTCTGGAGATATTTGCCTCTGGGAACTTAGCTGTGGCGACCCAGCTAACTAATTGTCTAGCTAGTAGACAAGTAAGCTAATAGCAGCACAGTAACATTAACGTTACCCAACGATAGCTAGCTATGTCGATAAGAGCTAGCGTTAAGCTACGTGGAAAACTGTAGAATCGTAAAAAGTTAGCACACATTCAAGTCGGTCTGCACAACTGTTTTGGCAATTACTGTCAAGCCAGCCCATCCCTCCTCGTTAGCCAACATTAGCTCCACAAGCAACGCTTTCGTAGCTATGGAGAGAACGTCACGCCAAATACCGTTCAAGAATCTGTCAATTTTACGTGACCTTGCTTGTAAGCGAAGGCGCACGCCTCATAAATTACCAGTCAGTACCATTTCCACACTGCTAAAAAGAATTAGTGAATTCAGGATGAACAGAATCAATACAACGACGTTTAGCTACAAATTACTTAAGATTGGGTTACTGGGAAACCCTTCCTACTGCCGCCCTACGTAACGTTAACGTTAGTAGTTATAGGGGAAGGCGACTGCGGAAAATACAGGCTTAGCTATTGTTAAACTTAACGTATAATTGTTACAATCCGTGCGGTTTTCCTACATTTTACAATGCCGAATTAAATAATGGATCCTTCTGGTTCCTTAGAGGCCGTGTGTTATTTTTTTGACTGCAGTCTACTTTATTAAATAACCAAAGCCACTTAAACCCTTAGGTTTCAAAGGGTGGTCAGGACGTCCTCCTGTTGTGTACCGGACTAGCCTAAAAGCTGACAGATAGCTAAGCTAGCGCAATTGAGGATGATTTAGCCCGTTGCTTTTCGGCTTACCTCTCTTGACAGCCTCGTCATACGACAGGAATCCTATCCTCGACTCTTTGGCCCCCATGCTCCCCTCATTTCATTGCGATGTGAGGAAAAACGTTATAAACTGAGTTGACCAGAAGTATTCTTCGCCTTATCCGTTTATTGTGAAATGGGTTCCTGGTGGTGTGTGTATGTGGTGAACGGGTGAATGTTTTCAGTGACGCCTCCATTCTGTCACATGATCTGACTCTACAGGTCAGTTGATCAGCTCAGCTCCTCCAAGCGACGCGACAGACCGACGTTTCATTTTGACCTCAATAAATTCATAGCGTTTTCTATTTCCAGCTGTTCTTGGAAATTAAAATTAAGACATTCCAATTTCCAATTATTCAACCATTATGCGCAATCTTACCAAGCTGTCAATGTGTGAGCACGTGAGAGTGTCGGCTGTAAAGAAAAGCAAGTAGCACCACCTTGCGGCTACTCTGCTACATAACGCTACCTTACAGACACCACAGCGATCTTCGGAGGTTTCAAATATTTTTTTTCTTTTATGTCTTTAGTTGCAGTCTAATTGACGGCGTGCACGTTGCCCAACACAACACACAAGGATGACTTTAATACATTTTATGTGTACACAATTTATTCGCTATCTCCTGTATTTTCTTCAGTTAAAATGTACCACGAGGACAATAACTGCCAAAGCCGATTCCCTAAATCTTACAAATATATGGGTATTTAATGAAGTGTTTGTTTAAATGTTTTTTAAATGCCCCCTCTTCTTAAGCAGGGTGTTGTTAAATTTCCGGATTTTAAAACGGAGTTCAGCGTGACGCTTGGTCAGCTTCCTACGTCACCCAAGCTGGTTAGTGGGAAGTCAACATGACAGCAGCAACTGCACACCATATTTGAGCTACAATCGCTCACTTTTCCAGCTCGTGGACATTATATGGGGATAAAAGCATGGATATGTCAATAGAGTTTTAAGACAAAATGTAAGTTTTGTGAAAGTGTGATTCTTTTAACAGCTTTGAAACGTCGGCAGGTTGCATCATCTTCTCATTATGCGGCTCCTCTGGATCCTTCATAACTGAGGCAGGATGGGACTCGAAGTTCTGTTATACTGGCCGAACATTACTGGTGAGAAAGACTTTGAATTTTAAGGAACTGTATGTGTGTATTTGTGATAAATGTGCAGGAGCGTGTGACATGGCACAGCGAACCCATAGTGCTAGAATACTACAGTGGGCTATCGGTTAGATAGTAAATTCGACTGTCACAAAACTATGATTTTAGGCAGTCCATTGACCCTGAAATGTGTCACTGTGATGATAAAAAAAAACCCTACTAATTTAATCTGAACTGACCTAACTGGATGAGGGTAACGTTAGGATTAAGTGCCATGTCTGTTACTGAGTTCCATCACTTGGCTTGAATGAGTTATGTATGTATTCGTCTCTTTCAGGGTACTTTAGGATTGGCCTTGTGCTCGCTGCCTGGGCTGCCTGTGATACACCAGCAGTCTTTGTCTCTCTTTACTCAGTCTCCATAGCACTTGATGGTAAGGGATCTGTTAACCTTGGTTGACCTGTGGGACAGGCTTTGAACTTGGATGCTTATCTATGCTGATAGTTTTTAAATTAGGCAGAGTGTAGTTCATATTGTGCACAAACTTTCATACTGGTTTATTTTGGCATCAATAGCCTGTAACAGGTTTTGGCATACAACCAATGTCATATTGAACATGTCTACAGTACAAGAAACCTTTTTCACAGAAGGAGATCCACAGGTGGAACTAGTAGCATTAATAATGCCTACCTCTCACTTGCACTGGGACACTCACCATTATTAATGCTATTAATTACACATGTGCTTAAATGCTATGATGACTCAGAAATGGGCTACAGACCTTTTTCACTTTAGATATTTTGACATGAGTGAAAGGACAGGTCTAAATAATATTATGGCTGAATTCCATTCAGCTCCATCAGTTTCAGGCTCAAGTGCCATGGTTCACACTTGAATAGAAGAGAGCCATCTTAATGTTACATTTAGTAACACCTGTGTTTTTCTTACTGTAACAAGTCAAAATGCATGTGGTGAAAAAGGCCTAGTATGCAGCATGCAGAAAAGGTTCTTGCACCAATTTCAGAATGGAATTTTTTTTAAAGACACAGCTGTAGACTATTGATGTAGTATTGGGGGCTTTTTCACAGCTGTAACTAATAACAGTAATCACGGCTGCATTCCATTTAGGTTTACCAGTTCTGGAGCTCTGATTTGAACCAGCTGTAAATGTTATTAATCAGCCTGTGTTTATCCGCTATAACAAGTGAAAACGGTCTATAGGTTACTAACTAATCACAATGCATATAATATAGAGACTTCATCAAATGGTCTAGGTGATTTACAAATGAAATGTATAAATTAATAATTGCTGATAATGATACTGCATGGATGCATAGTTGGAATACAGAAAGATAGGTATAGCATGTAGGTACAGTTGCATCCAGTTTCAAAACCCAAAGATGGTGCTCTGTCTCCAATATGTGATGGTAGTTTCTGTGCAGGAGTGGACGGCTGGCTGGCGAGGAGGCTGGACCAGAGCTCCAGGTTTGGGGCCTGGCTGGATGTAGTGGTGGACAACCTGGGAAGAGGCATGCTGTGGAGCCTGCTGTTTGAGGTCTGATGGCTGAGAGCATTTAACACGTGTGGATTTACCATATATATTTATCATATGTTTTTTTATGAGCCTCTTTTAGATTTAGAGTAGCTACACATGACATTATTGCATACAGTACCTTTGAGTGGTCACTGAGGATCAGCTGGTATAAACCTAGTGTTTGCCACGTTGTTATCACACCAGCACCAGCCGGTACTGTTTACAGCAGTCTGGATGGATTTGTGGATTTGTTGTGCTGTTCATGAAATATCATATGCCATTAGGATAGAACAACAGAAAAGATGGTTTTCTGATGCCAAACACAAAATGATAATTGAGTCACGACAAAACAATACATTTTCAAGACCCTACCTTATTATTTGACTTATTTGACTATAGACATTATTTCAACAAACCCCTTTATAGTTTAATGGACTATACACGTGTTTTGGTCTTTAAATACAAATCACTTTTACTTTTAATGCCTATAAGGACTTTGATAACGTAGACTATTTTCCAACTTAAATCATCATTTTTATATAGTGTTAATATTTATTTTAATGATGCTTATCTTCAAGACCCCTCACTACAGAATAATCATCTTGTCATCACATAATCCATCATAAACAAGTGTCGTCTGTCTCCCGGTTCTCCTCCCGTGTCGTCTGTCTCCCTGTTCTCCTCCCGTGTCGTCTGCCTCCCTGTTCTCCTCCTGTGTCTGTCTCCCTGTTCTCATCCCGTGTCGTCTGTCTCCCTGTTCTCCTCCCGTGTCGTCCGTCTCCCTGTTCTCCTCCCGTGTCGTCTGTCTCCCTGTTCTCCTCCCGTGTCGTCTGCCTCCCTGTTCTCCTCCTGTGTCCGTCTCCCTGTTCTCATCCCGTGTCGTCTGTCTCCCTGTTCTCCTCCCGTGTCGTCTGTCTCCCTGTTCTCCTCCCGTGTCGTCTGTCTCCCTGTTCTCCTCCCGTGTCGTCTGTCTCCCTGTTCTCCTCCCGTGTCGTCTGCCTCCCTGTTCTCCTCCTGTGTCTGTCTCCCTGTTCTCCTCCCGTGTCGTCTGCCTCCCTGTTCTCCTCCCGTGTCGTCTGTCTCCCTGTTCTCCTCCCGTGTCGTCTGTCTCCCTGTTCTCCTCCTGTGTCGTCTGTCTCCCTGTTCTCCTCCTGTGTCGTCTGTCTCCCTGTTCTCCTCCTGTGTCGTCTGCCTCCCTGTTCTCCTCCTGTGTCTGTCTCCCTGTTCTCCTCCTGTGTCGTCTGCCTCCCTGTTCTCCTCCTGTGTCGTCTGTCTCCCTGTTCTCCTCCTGTGTCGTCTGTCTCCCTGTTCTCCTCCTGTGTCGTCTGTCTCCCTGTTCTCCTCCTGTGTCGTCTGTCTCCCTGTTCTCCTCCTGTGTCGTCTGTCTCCCTGTTCTCCTCCTGTGTCGTCTGCCTCCCTGTTCTCCTCCTGTGTCGTCTGTCTCCCTGTTCTCCTCCTGTGTCGTCTGCCTCCCTGTTCTCCTCCTGTGTCTGTCTCCCTGTTCTCCTCCTGTGTCGTCTGTCTCCCTGTTCTCCTTCTGTGTCGTCTGCCTCCCTGTTCTCCTCCTGTGTCTGTCTCCCTGTTCTCCTCCTGTGTAATAGACTTTTGTATATTATATAAAGTCACTGAGGGACCAAACAACTGCGAGACATATAAATGGGATGGACATAATCTTTCAAAACTTTAAAATGCATTGGACTCGTTGTAGCAAACAAGAGCTGTTAACTGTTTGTGTACCAAATATATGGACTATGATGTGGACAGACAACAGTGGATGCTGAAGCTGATACAGAGGAGGATGCAGAGTTTAGCCCTCGGAGCTGGGGACCTCCTGACCGAGGCAGACCACCCCAACATTAACTGACTTGTGCCGCAAAGTGTCTCAAAGTGCCGTGGCCAGCCCCACCTCCCCGCCAATAGCAGACAGGGCTTCACATCATCCGTCGCTGCCATTGCCAGCAGTTGCTGGGATTTATGGCATCCCTGATTCCAGCGGTGCCTCTGGGCCAGCTGATGATGATGGGGTTTGATGAGAGTCACTCCATTTGTGCATGAGTGCTGTGCCAGATCCTCTCTCGTGTACTGGTCAACGCCAACAGTGGCCACAAACCCTCCTTTACACATTTCCTCCTGTAGTGTTAATCCTAACCACGCCGGAGCGTGGGCGCAGGAGGCTTATCTATGATTCTGATCGCCCCTCGCTGGCCCAAGAAAATGTGGTTTACGGAGATCATTGCACTGTTGGATTGGAGACCTTGGTGCCTCCTTGTGCACAGAAATTTACTGTCTCAGGCTCAGGGATAATTATGGCACCCGCGCCCAGAAATTTGGGATCTGTGGGCCTGGCCCCTAACAGGGAAAAAGTGATGGCCACAGGATTACCTGATCGTGAAATTGACACAATTCAGAGCGCCAAAGGCATCCACACAGGGGCTGTATAGGCTAAAGTGGCCTATATTTGAACCTTGGTGTGAGGGAAAGAGCTTTTCATCATTCCAGAACTCTGCAGTGGAAATTTTGTCATTCCTTCAGGAATTTCTGGAAAAAGGCATCTCTTTCTCTCCGATAAAGGTGTGTTTATCAGCTATCTCGACATGCCATGTGGGATTTCTGGGGAAATTCTCTAGTTCTCAGCCTCTGCTTTTATGAAGGGCATATTAAGGAACTGTGCTCAGCGAAGCATATAGGGGATAAACTGTATGCGCTTTCTGTCCATCCAATGTGCATGCAGTTTGAAACTGCAAAACTCTAATATCGCGTCCTAATCCTGCATACATCGCTAAAGTGCCCTTGGACATTAGTTTGTGAACTGACATGCTTTTCACCACGTTGCCATATACATTGACTGCACGCAGGAGATGCGGACAACGGAGCAGCTTTTTGTCTGCTTTGCCAACCCTATTAAAGAGAAAGAAATGTCCAAACAGTGTCTTTCTCACTGGTTTGTGGAGACAATTTCATGTGCTTATGCAGAATTGCATGCTCAGTCCACCAGGGGCATGGCTGCTTCTTGGGCTCTTTATGAGGGGTTTCAGTGGAGGATGTCTGGATGTGACAGCAGAGGATGTCACTCAGTCAGCAATCTCAGCAGGGAATTGATGTAACTGACATTACAGTTCCTGCTGTCCCAGGACCAGATCTTCTCAGTCTACCTGCAGGGATGTCTCGGGGCGTGATGCTAGATTCCCATATGTGTTGTACGGTACCGAGTGTACCAACCAAAGAGACCTGGAGGTTATGAATATAACCAATGTTCCCCGATGGAGAGAAACGAGGTTTCAGTAAATGTGGAACTGAAGCTGTGGTAGATTTCATGGTATGACTAGATTGTTTTTGTCCTTGCTTTATGAAGTTAATTTAGAACAATGTTTGGAACATTTATGAGTGTATTAAATAAAAGAATCTGATGTTAGAAGTTATTCTTGAAAGTCAGTTGAAGACTACTTATTCAGTGCCCATGGCTTTTAATGTGGAAACACAGACACACAGCCGCTGCAGCTGAAAGAACAAGGCTAACATGGTCACATGCCACAAGAATACATCTAAGCAACACATTAATTTAACGGAACAAGCAATTGTAGTCAGATCAGCCTGTGCCCTAATGATTGGCCAGTGATATTACAAGCATATTCATTTGCATTCACACAGTCTGTGATTTTCTGTCTTCCTGCATGTGGCAGCTGCAGCTCCGTCCTTTAGCCCGGATTATGTGTTTAACTCCTTTGTGTTTGTTTAATATTATAGTTTGCTTTTCGTTTGCTAAATATGCCACTCTGCTTCTAGTAGACCATGTTTGCGATTTGTCGCAACGTTGTGTGACTGCTTAGCCTGATCGCAGTTGTTAGTGAAGCCAGATAACATGTTGAACCTGCTTTATGGTACAGGCCCCCGGGGTTGAATTACTGCCGCAGGCACTAGGTGCCTTGAATCTGAAGATTATCTAGGCATTTAGCAAAAAAATCAGTTGTTGTTTAGTTTAACAATTATAAAGCCAAAAGTACTGATTAGTTCTGGAAGGAAGATTGTTGTGTAATATTAGTGTTTTGTCAACCTATTTTAGAATAATCTAATAGTTGCATAAAAAAACTTCAAAGATACCAATATTTTCTACCTATTTGGACTATTTCCTTTTAAAATGGTAAACTGCAAAATATACATGATTTGTATTAAAAGAAAAAAAACACTTGTATGGTCCTTCTGGATGGATTCACTCATGTTGTATTTGTGACTGAATGGTACTTGTATGTCTGATGGAACACTGTACAAATATTTCAAATGGTCTGATGTCCTACATGTTTTGTATTACAGTGGGGTTGGCTGGTCTCTGCATTGGAGTGGTGTGTGTTTGTGTGTAACCACAATGCCAGAGGTGACCACTGGAAGAACAGTTTCACCAGCAGCCCTCGATTCATACAAGCCGTCATGGCGAACGGTAAATAAGTTGATGTTGATGTACTGTGCAGCTCAAGATAAATCAGATTTCATGGGTTCATTTGAACTTTACATGTCTGGTGGTGTTAGGGTTTCGGACACCGCTTGGCACATGGGTGGTGAGCGGGCTGCACTGCCTCCCGCTGTGGTTGTATGGGTATCGGTGGGGGTTACTGTCCCACTGGCTGTGTCTGCCCCTCTGGATCCAGGCTCTGGGGACTCTGCTGCTGGCTGCCGGCCGCCTGCTGGCTCTATCAGTGGAGGTAGAAATAACCTGTGATAATTATAAACATCATGTTGAAGTCAGGCTGGGCAACAATAATGATAATTATCGCAATATAATTTTCCTCAATAACAAAATAACAAATGTTCGATACATCATCAATAAATGTGTGACTTAATTCATTTGAATCACGAACGAATTAGCACTTAATTTTTTTATTAAGATATTTATTTTGTTGAGGAAAAGGGACTGAAAAAAGATTTAATAATCATATTTTTGAAAAAAATGTTCTAGGTCAGATTTGTGAGGTGATCCACTGTTTGGCATCAAGTGTTTGTCACGTTCAGACCATAAAAAAAAAAGTTTAAAACCACAATTAACCATCTGGTTTCTTCAATTTTCACTCAGAAACAAAAATCATCCTTTAAACTTGAAAGAAATCATGATTTGACATTTATCGTGATAATTATCAATATCGAATGGTATGAAATGTTTTTATCGTGATAACATTTTTGGCCATATCGCCCAGGCCTGTGTGTGTTATATTGAAATAATTGCTGCTCTTATTTCACATTCAGTTTGTTCATGTCGAGCTGTCTCAGCCAAACATCCCATCCGTTTCTTTGCAGATATGGTGTATATGGACACACATTGAATACCTCACCTCTGACAAGCCGGAAGATCAAAAACACTGAAAGACACTCAGCAGAGTCACCGTATGCTGTCCTGTCCACCTTGGAATAATGCTGACATTAATCCACCACTTCTATAAGATTTCTTTCCAGATATAACCTACCATATCAGATTAAAATATGTGGCTGCTTTAGAGGCACAAGATAACTGTGTGACCATCTGACAACAAGTATAGTATTTTTGACCGGTTACTGTGTTGTAACAGACCTGCCTCACAGGTTTGTTGACATGTTAAAGGGAATATGAATATTCTTTTAGTGGCAGGGCCCAGGTACTGCCAGTACTTGTAACTGCCAGAGACTGCCAGTTAGAAGTGTCTGCACTCAACAACAGTTTCTTTGTGGTCGCTGTAGTTTCCTTTATGAAATGACACCAGCAACAAAAGGGAAAGTCTTATTGTAGGTGTAGATCACACCAATACTGAACTTAAAGTCTGTATCTCTAAGGGATTCAGTTAAACTATAGTGTACTGTACATCACCAAAGGTTACTCAAGTGTATATTTTACTGCACACGTCCTGCAGAACCTAAGAATGTACTGCTGAGTGTTTGAGAATGTTGAATGTCTTAGCTGAGGCAGTGCAGTATATTACTTTTGTACTATGGGAAACTCATAACTGCACTTTATTTCCACTTTTACTTCAGCAAAGGCTAACTCTGGGTGAGGGGAAAAAACTCCAACCCATTTCAAGCTCTATGGACAAAAATGCCAATAAATGCAAAGATAAAGCATTTTTACCAAAACCAGTCAGTGTATATCAGGAGTTTAGTCACTGGCAATCATATTGTATTAATGTTTTTTGCTTTTGTTTATGTTTTTTTTTATTCAGTTATTCACTGAAATAGGTTTATAGAATAATGTATTGTGTGTATATAAAGTATTCAATTTGTTCATAAAACCATATGCCTGTGAAATGTATACAAATGTTACACCCAGAGCTATCCTGCTTTCCACCTGCACTCTCCCAGTAATGAGCAGAACATGTGACTTTTCTTCACCTTCCTACACTATAGTTGATGGACCATGAAATAGTTTTTAATAGTTATGTTCATGTAAAATGACAGTTTTAGAGGTCAGACTGTGGACCTCTTTAGCATATTAACCTGCTGGACATTAGTCAGCAGAATGCCAAGTTACTCTACACTTACATGTATGTCGGTTTTGAGTGGTTATGTCTTTACTGTAATATTTTACAGAACATATTTTGGGGATTCATTTTATGAGCTTTTGATTCATCTCTGCATTGTGCTCTCTTCTGGTTCTGGGAAGCTACAGAGCACGTATGCAGGAGAGAGCCTGTGAATGCTTTGTTTCTCTACAATCCTTGCAATAAAATGCTGAATGACAGTTCCAGCAAGTGTGGTCTTGTTCTCCGCAATACAGTACAACACAGAGTTTGAGCTACCATATGGCGGAGTGGGGTGCGGGATTGTACTGTTGAAAGGGGAATGGGCGTTCCACAAAGCATTATGATTTCCATGAATTGAAATAAGTGGTCCAAACCATGAAAAATAATCCCAGACAGTAAGTACCCATGAGTAGCGTTGGCTGTATAGTGTATCTGAAACAGGTTATAATGAACATGTATCGAATGAATCGATCACTAAAGATCCTCTAATAAAGGATGGAGACGGGTTGTGATACAAAATATATTTAATATTTAGTACCATCAGCTGTTCTTGTATGACTGGGCATGTTTCATTCCACTGGGATGGGAATAAATTCTAGTTTTGGGATGAACACAAGAGTGAAATGCATGGGGAGTTTGTGATCAATGATATACCTTTTAATGTTTTGCAGCTAACAGTGAAGCAGCAACAGGACAACAGTGAAACATCCCCTCATCACATTTGGTGTCAATCCTTTGAACACGTATGAGAGAAACTTGGCTGTCAGAGAGATCACAGCTTTTATCTTTAACTTTGACCATCTTTCCCAGCATGCCCATGCCCTTCGACCCTCCAGCAATGACACTATGACAATCCCTTTCAGAAATCAGTAGATCACAATGACTACCAGTAGGTACTGTCAAATCAAACCTTGTCTGTAGGTCAACTGGTTTCTTAGGGGCAGAGTTACAAGAAAACATCCTAAAACACTCCAACACCGTTTTTTAAAAGAAGCACATTTCTGGCTCCATTTATGATTTTTTTTTTTTTTGGCCAAACAGACAATTTGACATCACAGCCAGTGCTGGAGCTGGAGTTTGGACAGGAAACGCTTCATGTCAAAATCAGTGAAAAAGAGCCTTATCTAGAATTTTCACAGGTGGTACAGAGAAAAATCCATTGCAGAAAACACAGAAATTGCTTGCCAGTGCCTCCAAAACAGTAGCCCTAATAGACCAGAATGCAATTCAACAGGACAAGTGACCTTCACTTAAAAGCAGTCAGTATAACTGGAGGGAAGAACAAAATAAATCCTGGGATGAATTAAATCATATCCAACAGTGTAGGATTTTTCCATTCAATATTTGCGATTATTCACTCTGTAGGACAAGAGGATATGTATTTACCAGCCTCTACTGTAACATACTGTTTTCTGCAAATGATCCAAATCTAGTCGTTTGTCTTTCTATAGAGCTGCTTGGAAATAGCGACCGTAGGTAACATTCATTTCCACGTCTGTCCTAGGAGAATGTTCTGTCTCCCAGAAAGAGGGGGCACCTGTCGAAGCACCAAGAGCGCAGCTGAGCGTCCTTTTAAGGGGGCTAAGGCTGGACCTCCTCAGCTAGAGCCACTCACATCACTGCTAGAGAGGGAGGCGTCCGACAGCACTGAAGCAACAGCAAGGCAAAGCTCATTTTCTTCATTCACAAAAAAAAAAAAAAAGGAAAAGAAAAAAATATATAAAGGCATCGCATTTTCAGTTACGTTACAGATATCAGAATTTGTTTTAAAGCAGGACTCTTTCACATTTTTCATCAGTGAGATTTCAGCGCAAACTCTCATCAGTTATTTCACTACAAAGATACAAATGTCTTGCTTGTCTCAAGTCATCCATGACCACAAAGCTCCAACTCTCATTTAAAGGGTCAGTTCACCCAGACTATGAGAAAAACTACTTCTCACTTACCTCTCATGGTATATACCCATGCAGATAGTTTTGGTTTGATCTACCCAGGTTCAGAGATAACTATCTCTAACATTTCAGCTTCCACCCCGATATAATTCTAGTGAATGGAATTTCTTCTCCAATACTGAAAAATTACATAAAAGGAAACAACAATAATTCCTTCTGTGCCCCCATTTCTCCCGTTTTCCAAGGGACTACTTTTTTCAGTTCCAATGGCACCGTCTGCAAGGCTAGATACCACCAAATAAAACGTTGTAAGGTACAGTCAGGTAAATCCACCTGGCCGGTAAACTGGCCGGTATTAGTTTGTTGCAGATATATCTGTATATATACACACAATGTGTATACAACGCCTAATAAATCACAAGGTCAGCAGAGAAATGCCAAAGATAATTTCGAGATAATTCAGACAGTTTGTACACCAGAGAGCACATTTTTACACTTCAAAGTAACTGTAAGTATGCATCTTGGTCCCACTGTTAGGTTTGGACGTGTGTTTATGTAAAAAGATGAATAGCTGCACTAGAGGTAAGTGAAGTACATCGTTTTTTTGACCTATTCCTTTAAAAGTGCTGCATGTGACTGGAAAAAGAAAGGAAAGATTTGGCATTAGGGCATTGCCACTGAGTTGCAACAATGTGACCATCAGAGCGTTAACATTTTAAAAACATGTCACTGGTTCAGGGTGCTTCATTGTGAATAAAGACAAGAACCTTTGGAAGCAAGATAGTTCAACTCTATAGTGAAACAACTGATGGGATATTGTAAAAAACAAAATAAAACAATCTGGAACTTTGCTTTAATGGGTATCTGACAGGAAGGAGTGGAGAGGAAAGGCCAGATGCACAGGTAAACAGGCTGGCAACACATGCATTCACACTCTCACAAATAAACATTGGTCCCCACTGTAGTGCCCTTAAGGGTATAATTGTTCATTTAGCACTTAAATGTATGGGTCCGTCTACAGACAGATAACTGCAAGCTGGTGTAAGGCTGGTAATCATCAGCAGAGCACTTGGGCACCCAGAGTTTTATCTCTGCGTGCTGACTGACACACACACTAACACACACACACACACACACACACACACAAACATGTGAAGCCACACCTTAAGATAAACAAATAAAGGGAGGCTAATAAGCCTCTGTCCATGTAGCATCTTCCTCTTTTCACTCCTATCCATGTCCCTTCTTCTGAAGTAATAGCGTGAGCAGTTTCCTTCAAAGTCATGGCCACTCAGTAAGAAAAGCATAAACAAAGGGCTACATAAACATACACTTTTGCATATAAATTATTGGCATTTCAATCATCAATCTAAGTCAGTACTAAGCTGGAAAACAAGATAAAATAAACTGAAAACAAGGCCTGCGAAGCCTTTTATGTGTGTAACAATATACCCACTGGTTCAACACATTCCACTGTTTGTAATCTCTCTCCACCAAGTACTTCAAAACAGGAGGTTTCTTAGGGTCCACTTTCATTTCTTTGCAAAGACAAAAACAAAACAAAAAGAAGAAGCCTTCAACTGAAACTTAAGTGTACAATCTGCTGTATTATTTTACTGTACAAGTGTCAAAAATATCTGACAATTTGCCATCTCTGATCCGCCAAGTGATGACGTTGATGGATGTGTTTTAAAGACGTATTTCACAGATGTGTGTGGGGTCCAGATACTGTCATGTACATAGCCCTGGAGAACATGGTTTTCATCTGTGATGAGTCTCATGGGATTCAGAGCTACACTGGTTCAAATACAAAAGCAAAAATGTTCTCCGATTCCAAACTGAAAAGAAAAAGGTGAGTGAGACAAGAGGAGAGGTCATTTGTCATCCTTACAGGACGTTTGAGTTTTTTATTTTTCACCCCGCCACCCCTCCTCTCAGTCGTGTGTCCTCTTTCTCTTGGAGAAATGCAGTCTTCTCTGTGGGGTGAAGCTGCATCCGGTCTGGAGTTGCATCTTGGTGGATTGTGTGGGTGTCGATGAGGTTTGATAACGGTGTCTTCTCTATTTTTTTTATTCCACAACTAAATGTGTGTGTATGTCTGTGTGTGTACTGGCAGCTGCAGTGACTATAAAACCACTGACCTGCCGTGATGCTTGAATTTTCTGTGTATTACTAATTAACTGTGTGCAACTGAAGCATCACATTTGGGCTCATTATGCGTCCTTACCAGGCTAAAGCCCACTTGTCTTTTTTCCCCCCGCTCTTCCCTCATAAAATCAGCCAAGACAGGGGCGGGTGGGGCCCAGGCTCTGAGCCAATAGGAAAGCTTGTACCACCTCCTGGGTCTGCTGGGGAGTAGTGTTGACGTCCTCCAGGGCATCTGCCACGGCAAACTGCCGGTCCCTCAGCCTGTTCCAGTTGGACAGTACGTTGTGGTATTCAAACACCTTCTCGTAGTTTCCCACTGAGTTGTAGAGTTTGATCAAGCCTCTGTAGTCGTACTCCAGTCCGCTGTAACCCTCTCCAAACAGCTTTTTACCTGTGAGGCCACCGAGAAAAAACAAAAAACAAAAATTTAAAATCACAAACCGTGTTTGTTATCATTCTAAATTTGTCAATTGAGTGAAAACAAGTTGTCAGCTATTCTGATAATCGATTAATTGCTTAAATCAGTTTTTGAGCAAAAATTTATTCAGTGGAAAATTCAGGCAAACATTTCACTGTTTGTTTCAGCATGTGAGAATATACTGCTTTTCCTCATCTTACATATAGTACATTGATGTAGACTTTGGGTTTTAAACATCAACTTGAACTCTAGAAAACAGTCAGTACATTGTTCTGAATAAATAATGAAAATAATGGCTCAATGCGCCCCTAAATCGCTCCATTTTAATCACAAGATAATTAGGTTGCAAATGGCTTATCTAATGCCCCACCATGACATATTAAGCCTTGGACCGACAGTAAGCATTACAGGCTGGTGTCAACAAGAGAGACCAAATCAGTCCGACTCATCTGCCAGCTTTTGCTCAGAAATCAGTTAATTTTCGGGGCAGCACCCCTGGGTGCAGATGAGAAGAACACTTTTTTTTCTGGAATCCCTGAGACACAGGAGTGACCACAGTCCTGTTTTACAAAGGCGATCAGAAGGCCATGCCGCTATTGATGGGTTTAACCTAGGCATTCTTGTATCTAGAAGCAGGCATAAATCACCATGGTGATTGGTTATGCTGAATGGCTAACCTGCTGTGAAGAACATTTACAATGAAGTGAGTAAAGTAAGTTACTTAAAGTAATTTTTTTAGAGATGCACCAATTGTAATTATCTTGGCTGATTCTAATTGTTTAAAGGCTGACCTGCCAATTCTGATTTTGGCTGATTCTGTTTTCTGGAACTATAACTGACAGCATACACACACGTTTTTAAACTTTTCTTTAACCCCAATTAGTAGCAGCAAACACAAGTTAAGTCTGTGTACAGTGATTACAAATGACGTCTTCACAGGGAAGAACCTCCACACAGACGACTTGTTTTAGCACGTTTGTGTGTGCGTCTCAGTAGTCGGTTACTGTCTGTGCCACTGTGCACATGACTTAAACCATAGTGCGATGCAGCACGTGTGTAAATCTGACCGGCACATGATCTGATATGTGAGACTGATGGGCCCCGCTGAAAACTGGCCGATCGGTGCATCTCAAGTTTTTTTACTTTGTTAAAACCAGAAAGATATAAAGTGACATCAAGTTTGAGTGACCCATCTATCACATCCCACTGTCTGACCGATAGCGATGGAGCGCAGGTAGAGCCGCTCTGCATCTTCATACTGGTTCATGTCGTAGTTGTAGAGGGAAGCCAGGTGACCCACAGACAGAGCCACTTCGTAGTCTTCGTGGCCCAGAAGCTGCTCCTTGATCTGGATGGCTTTGATGTGCATCTCCTCTGCCTCCTGGTTACATGGACACCCATAAAATCAGACACAAACACAAATAAAGATGCAATGCCAAAATATTAAGACAATGCAAGAAAAGGATTTTTTTCCTAGTATTTTTGCAGCTTCCTATTGAGAATCTTATACATAATTTAAAAAATTGGCCTACACAGGCTCTCAGCTCTGATTCTTGAATTTCCCCCAGAATTACAGCTGATGAAACACAGAGTTGGCGACTGCAGTTGATAGCCTCGAAAACCCAGGCGTTTTCTAACATTAATTTAGCTCTTCTTATTAGCTAGGCTCCTTACATGCTCACTAATAACTTTTTTAAGCTGGGTCTCTGACATTGAAAGCGTTCTGTTGGATTTGTGCAGCTGTGTTCATGAGGGAGAGGGAGAGAGAGCGAAAGAGAGAGGGACGAGCGAGAGGATGTGCTGCGCTCTGCAATCAAATATGACAAAAAACTAAAATAAATCTGTGGCAAATCTGTAGCATTGATATTGTGGCGGGCCGCCACAAATAAATGAACATATGGGAAACACTGGGCTATCTTGTAGAAGACTGGTGTGTCATTTTACATTTAGTTTTTTAAGTTTTATTTGTACATATTGTTCAACTTGACGTATGAGTTTTGAAAATGTGGCAGTATGGCATGATATGTTGTGGAATTTTGATCAGGTTTTTTACATTATACATGAGATTATCATTATTTAACTTTATATGGCAAGACACAACTGGCAAAAGCTAATTAATACTTCCATTATATCCAGTCAGAATGATAAAACTATCAGATGAGTTGGTGAGGATGATCACAGACCATCTTGCATCATCATCCGTGTGTGCACATACATATACACCCACACACAGACATTTCAATCACCTTGAACTTCCTCATGGACTGGTAGAGTCGTCCTAGGTTGCCATAGTGTTTGGCTGTCTGGACGTTGAACTCTCCGAAGGCCTTCTTGGCCAGCTGCAATGAGGAAAGATGAAGGTCATGCGCCTCCTGCAGAAGGCGCTCTTCTGTCTCCTTATTGTGGCAGTCGATAGCTATTTCCTCCAGAATCAAAGCTGAGGGAAATAAAGGACGATGAAGCACATGTTAAGATGCCTGCCTATCATTTTTGTGACATGTGAAAATCACCAGTCTCTGAAATATAAACATCATTTCACTTTTACCTTCTTAACCCCTAAAGAGGAAACATTCTGTAGCTACTGACTGATACTACAACAAACATGGACTTTTACTCAATAGGCGAAAAGGTTTTTCATATTAAGAGACCTTTTTTGTTATTAAAGTAAACTTGAGGAATGTGAAAATACTGCCCCCAGGAAACAAAATCATTAATATTACATGCAAACATGTTTCAGTTTAGATGCCATTTACCAGACATGCATACCAGACATCTTCTAAACTTCCTTTGGGCTAATGTTTCTTTTGATTTGGGCACCTTGGAGAAACTGTAAAGACCTGAATCTGTACAGATAAAAATATCTAAGATAATACACAATATAAGGCACAAGGATAATGGAATTTAGCTACATCCCATTATCCTTGTTTTAAGAGTGCCAGTCTGATATTCCCCACTGTACTCTCCACACAGTGGACAGAAGCCCAATATCTCAAGGAAACATGCCTTACCTTTGACTCTCTTGGAGGAGGCCAGCAGCAGATGGTCCTCAGGCAGAATGTGAGTGATGATGTCTATTGCACGTTCTGCATGGAATCTGAGAGACAAACACATCAGCTGACCCAAACATATCATGCAACTCAGACTTGGCTGCAAACTGTAAACACTTCCAAGAAAGTCACGTGTTTCCCTTGAAGAAAGTTGTTTTGAAGCTCTGATCAGGGTTAGAGAGGTCAGAGCATTACCCAATTTTGAATCAGGCTCCTTTGTATAGAGGAAGAAGTGTCAGGGGAAACATTTTCCACTCAGCTACGTGTCACTTTGCCATCACAACACTGTGTCTAAAATGATCAGTGCTTTTTAATGTATGTTAAGGGCACACAAAGCATGCAGCACATAAACATACCAGTACAGTAGAAAAAAGACCATCACAGTATAAGCTGTGACCATATGTCTAGTGTAATTAGCTGGCTGGTCTAGGAATAGTCCTGAGTAAAAGGACTCAGTCCAGAGTGTACTCACAGTGCGTTGTCAAATTTCCCCGAGCTGTACTGGTGCACGTATGAGGAGTAGGCCAAGTCTTCATGGGCTGTGGCAACGTGGATGTTCTTCCCCCCGAACACAGACTGTCGGATATCCAGCGCTGTCTGGAATTTTGTATAGAAAGAAAGGATTTTAAATAAATATAAATAAAATGCCACGTTTTTTTAATGGAAATGAGGACATGAAAACATGTACACATCGTTGCCAATCACTCTACTTACCTGGTAAATAGCAACTGATTGGCATATGTTGTCTACATTTAATAAGTAAAATCCGTAATCTAGCAGCGTGTCGGAGTACTTGGGATGCTTGTGTCCAAAATGTTCTCTGTGAAACACAATACACTAGATCAGAATCCATGATAACAAAAGGGAGAAAGAATCATGTTGAGTCCATATAAGACACAGCAGGTTACCTTGCTAGAAACACTGCATGTTTGATCAGCTGCTCTGCTTTTCTGAACTCTCTCTTCACCACGCAGGCCTGCAGTGGAAAGACAAGTCAAAATTTACAGTCAGGTCTGCTGCTCCGTAGATACATTCTGCAAAGACAGTGTACCCATAATAACACACATACAAAAAATGTAATACAGAACATAGCTGACCTTGGAGGCTTGCCGGAGGACATCAACCACTACTTTGACAGGCAGCCCTGGAGTAATTTCCTTCATAGCCTCTATACACCACCTGTATGCCTGGAAAATGCAGCAAACAGACAGTCGGTTAAACTTGTTGTTTTGTCTGTATATTTTTATTCAACAACTAAAAGCACTTGTCTTTATTGTCTATAATTTACAAGAGAGATGTGATCGAATTTCTCAGTCACTGGGGGTCAGACACACATACCTCATCATAGTGGCTTTTGGCGAAGAGCAAGGCACAAAGCTCGCCGTATAGCGCTGCCTTGTTGGCCTGGTGGCCATGTTTGGCTAGTTTGTCCATGTAAGACTGAGCAAGCTTGAAGGTCTCCTCCCCCAGGTGGTACTTACAGTTGCCGTTACGGACATGAAGCAGCCTGTAGAGACAAGAGAGCATAACTTAACAATCTCAAGTGTGTCTTATCTAATTGATTTTCAGACATAAAAACAGACACTTTTGAGGAGGCTTTCTGATTAAGTCATTATTGTCATATTATAATACATACTGTGCTATAAAAACCAAGGTAGCAAAGCAACAGTGACACAAACTGTGGTTTTGTTTTTACCAATCACTATGGATTCCAAAGACCAACTTGGTGAACTCCTCTTCTGTAAGGCTGCTACTAAAACCTTTTCATTGATTAACCTATATTTTCCTGATTTTTTTTATAGTGATGGGCATTTCTGTTGGATAGTTGACCAAAAAAAAGTTGATTATCAAAATAGGCATCACAGTTTAATTAATTTTCTGTCAATGTTAAATGACTCGTTCTTTTGGCACTTATCAATAGTACTAGAATCTGCAGAGAGGCAAAGTGAAGCTGGCCCTCTGATTACAATGTGTCCTTTCACGTAAAACAATATCTTGGAAGTGGGAGGAAAATTATCTGCAGTGTGACAATTTATTGACCTCAATTAGAGAAATGTTCTGATATCCACTGGGCTGCAGAAACGAAAAGGTGCAATAAAGACAGAACTAGAACAGATGCCCTCCTATATGAGCTGTTTGATGCCACCATTTTGAACATGAGCATGGCTAACCTGGTAAAAACTTTCCATTAACCGCAGCCTTAAAAATGAAGAAAACTTTGTGTTTCATCTCTGGATCACAGTAGTTCTGACCTAATGCAACTACAACTCTGATCAAACTTGTAAATGGAAAATTGAAATATCGCTGATCGCCAATCAGAAGAGTCGATCAGACAAGGCTCAAAACCAAAAACATTGGTGTATTTTTTGGCCGATTTATAAAACTGCTGATGAAGAAAGTCACCAGAGCAAACATTCAGAAAGAGAGACAGGTGTAAGTGTGTATGTCAGAACTGAAGGGGAAAGCAAGGTGAGCAAATTAAAGTAGTTTGTGAGTAAATACTAAAATAAAGGTGGAGAATTAAGCAGAATTAGAAATAGAAATATCCTGTTTACTTAAGTAATTATCTAACTGCATATTACTCAAGTGATGGAATAAATCCATGTCATGACCGTTTTAAGTTTTAAGTCAAGTACTTCAGTAAAATACTGATTCTGCAGTTGAGGGAAAGGGCTGACATACAGTGATTACATCACCCTGTGTTCCAACAATCCTTCTGAATAAAGGAAGAAAGATTTTTAAAATAGTTTAGAATAATGGATAAATTTAGTTGTTAAATTAACTGAAATAATAATCGTTACATTAATCAATTAAAAAAATAATTGTGAAGTGCAGCCCTACAATGTTTTTAAGAATAGTTAAAACAATAATTAAATAAAGCTTCAAATAGACCCCGTGATCACTATCATTAGATGCTGCTTCCAGTGATCGATGATTTGCCCCAAGAATCCCGATATGAGCACCCTTAATTGATAGTCGTCATTTCTACAGGTGAAGCTGAACCACCTGTGAGATGCATTCGATGTGTAGCAGTGTGTGAACTGGAAAGGAATTCTTGGTAAATATTAGGGGAGTGGAAAATAATTGACTCTTAGATGCATCGCGATGCGGACTTGGATTCTAAATTAACTCACAAATGTCAATAATCGATTATCTAGAGGTTAATTGATAACGTAATGTTGACGTAAAAGTAAAAGTATGGTGGAACTTGGAAATGCGGGAAGTGCAGCTCCGGACTGTCTGCGGTGTGCACAAAACAGAGACGTGTCCTCCCTGTTCGGCACAGACAGGCAGCTGTTGAATAACTGCCGCTGCTGCCAACACTAATGATTTTCCCCCGCACACTGTGCAGCACGGTAACGCTTAGCTAGCATCCTCTCCTCATTCGTCAAAGGATAGCTACGTGTCAGGCGGCAGTAGGTGACAGTGAAAGCGAGCAGAGCAGAGGGAAACATGAGTGCTAGGTTTCAGTCTGGCAGTAAATGTACAGTGTAGGTCACAGCGTGTGCCTTAATTAAAGTGTTGTTTTCCAACTGCTGGAAAAGTTAAGGCAGTTAGCGCTAGCTAACACCTCTTCTGACTGCAGTCAGGAACCTGAGCAGGACGTTTTTGGCTGCTAGTTCAAGTTCATTTGTTGTCATTCATCCACATATTGAGTACACAAAGGAACGAAAAGCTGTTTCTCAAGGCCCATGACAATTTCAGACCCCTCCATGATTTCTAAGTGGGAGAACTTGCAAAATAGCAGGGTGTTCAAATACTTATTTTCCTCACTGTATATTATATAGGCAGCATGAACGTGGATTGGCTGGAGCATTGTAAAGTGTGTAGTTTAACCCCTATCTGACTCTACTAATAACAGCAGCATCAGAAATGACAATAGCAGCAACAGAGGTCAGTAATAATGCTGCAACAATGTAATCATTTTATGTAACTTTAGCTACATTTTTATGAAGTAACATTAAATAGCTGGATTTCATTACTACCTACGTAGTTGGATTGTTACAAATACTTTGTTTTACAATTGCATCATAGCCTCATAATCGTAATGAGGTGCCTAGAAATTCCCACCCCTAGGGGTGACGTATCGTGATATCGACAGGATAATCGAATCAAATCTTGGGACCAGTGAAGATGCACATCTCTAGTAAATATAACCATATACAGAACATCCACAGTTTTCAACACTGACCTGACACAACATTCTACAGCCCGGAAGCAGTGGAGGACCTCACTGTGAAGTGTGCAAAGCTGCAGGCACGACAGAAACACCTTCTCTGCATCTCCATACCATCCCGCATCAGACAAGAAGCCACCTAGAATCAAAAGACATCAGATTACTCGAGCTAAAAGATGTGCCTTTGGTTCATCTTTGAAAGACAGCTTTCACATAAAAAAAAAAACAAACAGCTGTGGAGTCGAGTTCCGGCATGTTTACCACAAAGTTAATGGTTATATAACATACTGGCTGACCATTTTACATGTAATGTCTTAGGTTAGATAATGCCACCACCATCTATGAGCCCGTGATATTGATTTATCCTCAGTTATTATTTCATGTCAATGAAAATGTGTCACAAGTCGTCATACTTCACAGTGTGTCCACAGTAGTAATAAATGTGGTATAATTAGATTACATTAGATACATTTTAAATGACTAAAATGATTATAGACTGCTGGCAATGAACCAAACTATCACTGATCCCTGATGTATTTTTCCTATCAGCTAAAGCTATGATAACATCAGTGGGAGGAATTATTAGTCTCAACTTATTCACTCATTGTTTATCTTTTCCTTTTACGTCCAGACTATCTCAGAGTGTCTGTGTGAAACCATCCGTCCCCTACCCCACCATTTACCCAGCACAAAGCCGAACTGGATGGCCTTCTCTTTGACATGGGCGTCGGACTCTGCGATGTAGGAGCAGCGGCGGCTAAAGGAGTTTGCCAGAACGGAGGCCACTTTTACACCGTGGTCCATTAGGGCCTGAAAGCAGTGGTGCAGGAGGTGTCTGCAGTGAGGAGGACAAAGGAATGGACCATGTAAGAGGAAGGCATAAGTATTGGGTGATGATTAATATAATTGTTACATTTAAGCCTTTATTAAAAAAGACGCAATGAATGCAGTTTTCAGCACATACAGCCTAAATTGCTCTGATAACCATCTGCTTAAGGGACCAAAGTCTCCAGAACCATTTGTAAAACAGTTGAAGGGTCAACATGGATGGTGTGAGGTTTCAGGCAAAGCTTAGACCCAATATGTTCTTACCTTTTATCTGAAGCCCGCAGTACTTTAGCAAACACCTCCAGCTCACAGAACTCTCCTCCCAGCTGGCAGAGGCGGCCCTGCTGGTAAAGCTGAGAGACACAGAGATGGAGGAATAAGTGAGCATGGAGACTCGCTGACAACAACACAGATTGTCAGCTCTTCCATTAGGAGCACAATGTTGCATCTAAAGGTGATAACTGGTCTGACTACTAATGTGCAGGTGGGAACAGAACGTCTTAGCAGAAGGGTACAGAAAGGCCCATCTGTGACTACAAAAGGTAGAGCTTCTGTCCTATTTTTAATCGTAGGCTCTATTATGGGTATGACAGTGATGCTTTAAAAATACTGTCTGCTGTACAGGAGCTGAAACTAAAAACATTTGCTGATGTCTAGTCTGTCATCAAAATGCACTGAGCTGGAAGTTGTTCTCCATGGTGGGGGTCTATGAGGGATTGAAGACTTCTCATCCAACACTACTAACAGGCTGATGATGTGTTCAATACTTTGGTTTATGACCAAATACATGTAAAACTAATGACATTCCCACCAGTCACCACATGTCGTTTTCTATGCGTTCAATGCAAATTAGCAAACGTTAGCATGCTAACATGCTAAACTAAGATGATGCTCACGGGAAACATTAGCAGGTTAGAATTAGTCAATGTGAGCAAGTTAGCACGCTGGTATTAGCGTTGAGCTTAAAGCACCACAGTCACTGCTAACCATTGGTAACCTGCAGAGGCCTAAAGAAAGACATGTTACTATTGTGATACATGGTTATTATGCTTAAAGGGAAACAGAAATAAACTCTCAAGACTCTTATTCGGTGTTATTAAATTTAGAGTTGATAGCCATTTCAGAAATAATTTAATATTTATGTTTACTTTATTAATAACATTAATTAAAACAAATTGCTTTCTTCATATCACAGCCCCAGACTAAAACCATGTAGTTGCAGACGCTCTCATGTTAGATGTTAGCATATACAAACAGAAACGTTAAGTTGATGTGTTCGCTTGCAGTGCATCTCTAGCCGGTCTGTCTCGCTAACCTAGCTAGGATGCTCGTCTCTTGGTCTATCTGCATCTTGCTTGATAGCCACTTCAAGCACTGTGTTCTCTGACTTTGTGCCTGACACAAGGGGGAGTGAAATACTATTTATTATGTTTGATAAACGACAATGGTATAAACTGCAGCTTGAAAAATTGAATTACACGTGTGTGAACATGTTTTCATATGCAACACCAAATGAAACTCCAACAGCAACCTCTGTGGGAACCAGTCAGGACAATACATGGGCATGATGGCACACCTAATATTTTAATACAAGACAGGTTATCTAGTCTCATAGTCATTGTTAGTTACTCTGGACTAATGCAAGATGAAAAGCGATGGACTAAAGGTGACTATAGAAGAATTACTGAATTTGATTGACTGGACTAATTACCAGGCAGCAGAGCCAAAAGCTCAGTGTTGTACAATTTCCTACATTTTATATTTTCTACAATTTCTTATTTGTTAATTTTAATAATCACTTTCAAGATTCTATAGAAAATATTCTATTCAATTAATATTGTTTGTTTAGACCTCATTCTGTTCTGTAGAGGTGTACTTATTCTTAGACTGACAGATTGAGCAAACTGTTTTAGAGGAGGGAGGATTGAGGTGTGAGCACGGAGGTGTCAGGTGTGACTGTGTGGCAATATGAAATGGTTTGGCTCGTGGGTAAGGTAGGAGGGCCTCTCAGCAGAATAAGGGTCCCAGGAAGTTGCATGTTCATTTAAGCGGCGCTCTTAAACTTTGTGCTGGTGCTCCTCCTACGATTTTCAGTTGGAAACCCAGAGCTACTAGTGGAAAACGTTTATCTGGAGCCCTGCATACTGTTTGTAGGATCAGATTTTCTGTGACAATCATTGTAAATGACTCGCCACGTTGTCAAAACTGGTTTTATGATCCTCCTCTGAATCCAAATCAGAGGTGAATGTGTGGACATGTCCCATGACAGTTGAAAAACTAATGAGCCTTAATAACTGGAAACACCTGTTTAAGAACATCAGGTGCACGTGATTTATGGTACTCCGTACTAACCATCTGACAGAGTATCATGACAAATGCAGCCAGCTAGCATCATATTAATGCACCGCCTTAAAAATATTACAAAGTGGTTTTTGAAATAATGACTTTTCCAAAGGCCAGTTTTGACAGGCCCAATAGTAATGAATGTATATTTAGAACTTAGTTGGAAGAGTTTTATTCCAACATCCAGTCGTGGGAATGTAACGGTGTCTTGCAATGGGCATCTATACAATCTACATTCTTTTTAGAGAATTACTTAATAGCTTTTAAAGCATTCGCGCTCTACACTTTAAATTTTTGTTTATTTTCAGGAGATCATAATCAGTGCTTTGACTGGGCCTGTACACACTGATATGGCATAAAAGGACTTTGGATTTTTATATTCACGGAAATCTCTCTCTTTCACCTTTGTAAATAAGCGTTGAGAGGAGGCAGAATGTAATGCTGCCCTCCAGCTGCCTGAAGGTGATGATACATGGGGCAACTTTTTGAGCAATGCTGCTGGGCAGTCTTGCTGGTGCCAAATCCGACTATGTTTTGAACGGATAGTGGAGGGGCGGGGTGGTGGGGGAAGGGGATTATGATAGCAATTTTTACTCATTACCATTGTTGGCAACATTGCCCAGCACCATTGCTCTAAAAGTTGCTCCACGTATCATCAGCTTGATAGGTGCAATATTTGATTCAGTCAACTGTTGGAAAAGATATATTTTTGTTTTTGCTGTTGCCACCATAATCTATTGTTGGTGAATAGTACCATTACACTACAGTACCAATGGGGCACAAATATAGTTTTGATGTTACCACCTGGTTTGCTGCAAGTTGTCCCACAGTGGATCACATCTACGGCATATGACAGACTATACCTTACAATGACTGACTCTATGACAACAAACTTAGAATGTAAAGTTACATTACTACAACCTACAGACTCAAAGGATCACCATAACTTAAAAGAACATGGGTTTTTACACATCAACATATGTATTAACAGTTTTAAATATTTTCCCACTTATTTTTTTAACTTAGCTGTTGAGAACAAAAATGGGATTACAAACATTAAAAGAAATGTGTTTTGGTGTCTGGTTAAGGATGAATATCTATCCAACCCCAGGTTCCAGGGTACATCATAAATGAGCATTAATCCAGTGAGCAGATCCTAGTGTATGTGACGGTATATAGGCAGGTATAGCTATCCAAAGGTTGAAGAAAAACAGGTGCCATATCGTAAGCGAGCTGTAATCATGACCTCAGTATTTCTAAAATTCTGGCTAAAGGTCTTGATTATGGTTCAAGAGCAGCGCGGTTTCCAAAGTGACACTGGATGGCAGAGAACAAAACGAGTTGTTTTAAACGTTACAATGTTTCGATATATTACTGTTTTGTGATTTCTGTCTATGGCTAAATGACAACTGACTGCTGAGTGTTGTGCTTGCCTGTATATAGGAAGGCTACGTTAAATAAAGTTAGTCAAAACACATTACTGACAACAACAAATAGACAAAGCACTGTTACGTTAGTTTCCATGACAAACTCTGACACAATTTACACGGCGACTAATGTAACGTTAATTAGCTAAAAGATAAATGTCGTGTATGGTTTCTAATTCAACAAACGTTCATTATACAGAGACCTATACATCCTAGGTTTCTTACTTTAGTAATATATAAGGCGGGGGTAACGTTAAGCTACCTGTGAGTTAGCTAAACCCGCAGTTATTTGTCTTCAACAGCTAACGCAACGTTATCGTGATTTAGCTAACGTTACTAGCAGCAATGTTAGAAGCAGATTACACAAACTCGTACAGTCTGGTGGATGTCAAGATATACCTAGGCCCCTTGGCTGGTAAATCTTACCTTATAATAGACATCGAACTGTATATTTTCTGGGAGCGAGCGTATGTCCCTTCTTGAACGGCTGTAGTTGTCCACCACAGCCGAGATAGCTGTGTTGTACAGTGTTTCTGGGATCCATTCGAGCTCCACCGCAGCCATATTGTTTTCCCTCTCCAAAAAAACCCCAGCAGCTACAGCCCTCCCCAACTCTCCCTACATTCGCTACCTCACTGCGATTAAAGCACTTCCTCCGGGAGTCCTCATATAACATTCGCTTCAAACTGAGGCCACAAATAACTGTACTACCGCTAATTTAACGTTACAATTCTAAGACCGCTGTTTAATTTCTATTTTCGCCTTCATCTCCAATTATTCGTCGACCCTTCAGCAGTTCCGTAGCCCGTCCCGACGCACGCAGACACTCACTGGCGCTGACGCAGTGACGTAATTGTGCGCTCGATGCATAGACTGTATATAAAAAGGGTCGATGCATAGACTTTATATAAAAAGGGTCGATGCATAGACTGTATATAAAAAGGGTCGATGCATAGACTTTATATAAAAAGGGTCGATGCATAGACTTTATATAAAAAGGGTCGATGCATAGACTGTACATAAAAAGGGTCGATGCAAAAACTCCCTTTTTATTCATATTTTGTACGCATTAGTAGGATGGAGGATGGTGTTCAGATTTACATAGTCTACACAAATGAAAATACTCTGTTACGGTGTTAATTCTCTAACTTTTGTGTTGTTTAAAGGTTTCTCTATAATAATGCCTTGCAGGAGGACCCCTGTCCGTCCAAAACGTATTGTCATCCCGAAATAGGCTAAATGAATTCTGATTTAAGTATCCTCAGTTGGATACTAATTTGGTTTAAAAACAAACTTATATACATAGAATAAACATATAAGAGATGTCATCATAATACAGTTGTAAAAAAGCTATAAAAGCACTAAGACTCCATCAGTCCTTTGTTAAAGTGTGTGTGCAATAGCAACTAGCCCTACAGCTCGTTTTAGAACCGCTGAGCTGAGGGAACAAATCATCTCAAATATCTGTTTGACTTGGCCCCACCAGGGAAAGTGTACCTCCTCCCTGAGGGATGGAGTCGAAACTCTGCATGTAGAGGGTGTTGAGGATCCACCGGGATGACCTGGCTCTAACTTGATATACATGGCTAAGATCATTCAAGTTGGTGCTAATGGTCTTTTGACAAAGTTTAACAATCTTTCCCTACCCATTTTTGTTAGCCATGCTGAGGATGCCAAACCAACAAATCATTGCAGGTTTAAACTCACTTGATAACGGATTAATAAACAAATCTGTCCTTAAAACCCCTCAGTCTGTCTCTGATTGGTCTTTTTGGGGATAGAGTCAGTGTTGACTGCTAGACCCAAAATTATGATACTAATTTAATGAAAATGAAATATTACCTTTAAATAAATAGCACATTTACCGTCTTAGGTTAGTATATGCTCTGTTACATTGTCCATCAGTAAATAAAATTAGATAAAAAACTTAAATGTAACATTATTCATATAAAATGTCACAGGAAACATATGTATTATTGTTTTATTTTAATCCAGAGAAAATAAAACAGCGAAATCTTTCAACATAACATGGGCTACAATACAAAAACTTTTCCTTTCTTTTTTCCAAAATATGTAATCAATCAATCAATCAATCAAAACTTTATTACAGACTCAAGGTCCAGATCTTACCCACAACAATACATACATACATATCCACAAACGCACATGCATACACACATACCTACACATAAAAAAAATAACATAGTAAATCATGGTTAGAAAAATGAAAAGTATAAAATTATTTAAAAAGATAATCATTGTCCTACCAGGAGACAATTATACCAGTGTTTCCACATACGGGATTGGTAGCGTGCAGTACTTAGCCATATGTTAGTTAAGCCCATTATTATTTCATTTTGTGACCCATTAAGCCGGCACATGAATTTAAACATTAGGTTTCTTAAAACAGCATGAAAGGTCTTTACTCTTGCAGCCACAAACATCTCATATGCTCTACACCATCTTGGTCTTGTGAGTTATATTGTCATTGCGTCGTTATATGCTACTTTGAATTTCAATAGACTTGCCTTTCTATAATTTGACCACAAGTGCGCAGTATAGAACGGTGTGCAATATGCTTTAAACAGAGATATCTTTACACCAACTGTACATGCCCTAAATTTACGTAAGAGAATATTGGCTTGTGCATACATCATGCAACATTGCCTATAAATATTTTATAAATAAATATATAAATATTTAAAGTCATTTTATCAGTGATGAAATGGCCAAGTTATTTCACCCTATTACAGACACTAAGCTTATTGTTAGCCAGTTTAAACATTTATCATATTTAGTTCTGCAGATCATGACGACACTCTTATTGGCGTTATATTTGATATCATGTTCCACACCATATACCAAACAGATTGTAAGAAGCTGCTGTAATCCAGCACTACTTGGGCTAAAAATCACAAGGTCATCTGCATACATAATATGGTTCACTATTGAATTACCAATCATGCACCCTGTATTACAGGCTCTCAACTGCCTGGACAGATCATCCATACAAAGATTAAAAAGTGCAGGTGACAAAATACCCCCTTGTCTGACTCCATTGCTAACCCCAAATAAAGCTGAGACACTATTGCCTCACAATGTATTTGGGCACCCCTCTTTGCCTTAATTTGTTAAACAATTTACACGGTCAAATGCTTTAGAAGCATCAATAAAACACATAAGAACTGATGAGTTTTTATCTCTATATTTGTTCACAATTTCCTTTAGAGCATATATACACAAGTCAGTGCCATGTTTAGCTTTAAACCCAAACTGGTTATCTGTGGTGTTAATAATTTCATTTAATCTATCCAGTAGAATTCTTTCTAGTACCTTTGATAATATGCTCACTAAAGCTATGGGCCTGTACTTATCTAGACTACCTACCTTCCCAGCTTTGTCCGTAATGACTGGAACTAATAGAACAGCCAACATTAAGTCTGGCAATACACATGTATCATAAAAACAGTAAAACAAATGGCGAGCAAAGGAGCTATTCTTATACTGGCATTTTTAAGATGTTCAGCAGAAATACAATCCAATCCACTAGCTTTGTTATCAGAAAGCTTATGTATGGCTTGGTGTACCTCATGTGACATAATCACCATTGATTCCAACAAGGTATTACTCTCAATGTGTTCTACTTTATACAAATCGGTGTGAACAGTTGAATAAGGTACTAAAGTGCTGTTGCCATAACTGTGCAATTTTGTGTGGTCCGGAGATTCCTTCAACTGTGCATGGTAGAGATGCAGTTATCCAACGAAGGTTAAAATGAAGGGCAACTGGACTTGGTTGAAGATACTGGAAGACGTTTCGTCCCTCATCCAAAGGACTTCTTCAGTTCTGACTGACTGGCAGGGAAACTCAGCTATTTAACCTCAGTGGGGTCGTTGGCCCGGGTCTTCGATACCGCTGGTTCGTTAGTGTTCCTTGTTGCTGTGACGACAGTCGTTACAGTCGTTAAGACTACCTGTGCCCAAGACTGAACGACCCTCGTTGGCATCTTCACCTGAGGCCAATAGGTTACGTTTGTTGAGTTTCCTGGGAAGTGATGAAAGGACAGCGTTGTAAGTGGGGGATAAGTGGTGGCGTAGACCCCCTCCCCTGTTCAAAAGAAAGCATTCTCACTGGTAGCTTTACAAACTGTCATGGGATGTGCAGGGCCAACGACAGGAGGGGTCTGCAGCAGGTGATTAAAACTACTCAGAAGATCATTGGTACCCAATCTACCGAGCATCAGTGATATCAGTGAGGTGAGGTGCCAGCTCAGCCCAAAGGATACTAAAAGACTTACCCTGCTGCTGTCTGGCAGAAGGTAGAAGTATCTGCTGTCTTACCACCAGACTGCAGAGCAGCGTCTTCCCGCAGGCTGTGAGACTTTTCAATTCGTCCTCAGCACTCCACCATAAATAAAAAATAGTTTTCTGGGGGGTTTGTGTGTAGCATGAAGGAACTGCAGCTTGTATTTCATTGTACAACAACCTGTGTTGTATAATGATAAAAACCTTGAACCTTGAATGTCTTGGATAGATAGTACATAGGCTAAATATAAGCTTTTGTCATCCTTACATCTTTTCATAATTTACATCTTTGTAGACTGTACCGATTTCACTGTAATTGTAATATGCTTTACTTAACACATTTCAATTGATTGTTCATCAAGTCAAAGTGAAAATGTTTTGGTTCAGAGCTCCAGCACATTTAAAAAATACTGACTTGGGTTAAAGTACTGGCTCTTACCTGAATCTTGGTTTCTTCCCTGGTAATGCTAAGCTGGGCTTTCCAACGAAGGGTAAAAATGAAGGGCAACTGGACTTGGTTGAAGCTACTGGAAGACGTTTCGTCCCTCATCCAAAGGACTTCTTCAGTTCTGACTGACTGGCAGGGAAACTCAGCTATTTAACCTCAGTGGGGTCGTTATCCCGGGTCATCGATACCACTGGTTCGTTAGTGTTCCTGGTTGCTGTGACGACAGTCGTTAAGACTACCTGTGGCCAAGACTGAACGACCATCGTTGGCATCTTCACCTGAGGCCAATGGGTTACGTTTGTTGAGTTTCCTGGGAAGTGATGAAAGGACAGCATTGTAAGTGGGGGATAAGTGGTGGCGTAGACCCCCTCCCCTGTTCAATGACGGCTTCTCAACCCTGGTGTAGATGCTTCCTTGACACCTCTTTCAAACCATCCATCTTCTCTGTCTAAAATGTGCACCTGGTGGTCCTCAAATGAGTGTCCTCTGTCCTTCAGATGTAAGTAGACAGCCAGTTAAGAAAGGTGTTAGGTGTTGATGATCAAGGACTTCCATACACTTAGCAAAAGAAATACTGTTAGAAACAGAGCTGTCTGAAATACTTGAATGCAATACTGTATAAAAACACTTCTTTCCCCACATTTCTCTCGCTTTCCACCTCTAGATGGCAACAGCTGCACTGACGCTGCAACGTCTACGTACAAGAAGAAGATAGATTTTGACGTCAACGCGTTTGAGCATGCCTATTACGCTCGAACATAAACAAAGGCAGGACGCTGCGCTGCAATAAATATACTCTCCTGTAATTTTATACACTATCAGTACCGAAAATAGGAGCGCGACTTATTTTTGTGACCATGGAAAACGCATTATTGATGCGAGTGAGTGTGTTTACCGACCAAGGAGGCAGGAAATACATGGAAGATGTGACCGAGGTCATAGTAGAGCCTGAGCCGGGAGAAGATGAGCCGTCGTCGGGTGAGCCAGATGAGAGCAGTGGGGGAGACTGGACGGTCACTTCTCTGGCTGGGGACACGCATCCCGACCGGACTGGTGAAACCGTGGGGTCCCCGCAGGTTCTCGATGCATCACGTGAAGCTGTGCGAACGGAAGACCAAAGTTCCTCAGTGGAAACATCTTTACCGGGAGGTCAGAGCCCGCCGCGAGCTCAGCCGAGCACCGCGAATCCTTCCCGCCGTTCCGTTGCCTTCTTCGCGGTGTTTGACGGGCACGGGGGTCGCGAGGCAGCGCAGTTTGCACGAGACTATTTGTGGGAGTTCATGAAGAAGCAGCGGGGGTTCTGGTCAGACTGTGACCGGGAGGTCTGCTCTGCCATACGCAAAGGATTTGTAGCGTGCCACCACGCTATGTGGAAAAAGCTACGTAAGTTTACCACCAACACCTTGATGTTATTAAGTTCTTATGACCTATAATGTTGTCAGGGGTCGTTTTATCCCAATTTGTCCATATTCCTCTTTTAGAGTAACGTGGACATCACGCCAAACCACCTAAATCAGACAGTAGTATGTGGCCTAAATTAATCTAACGTCACACCCTAAAAGTTTTTACTTGGAAGCCGAATATACCATCAGATTGGACTAAAAGTAATTCTCTTTTGGCCATGTCAATAGTTAGAAAGGCCAGCCTAAATGCATTTGTCACACACTACCATTTGTTTCTGTAGCTATTATACAACTGATTTATGGAGCTAACAACAGTTTTAGCAACAAAAGGCAACAGAGCTAACGAAGTTAGCAGTAGCTGCCCTAACCCAAACAAAGCTTGCTACAGCAGACACAGACAACCGGTTACCAAAATTCAGAGGTATGTTCTCAAGGTAATGTATCCAAAGCAGTCGGTTAGTATTGCACTGTGTGATTCTTGGGCTGACTTCAGTATACGTCTGTTATCGTATGTTTTAGTTTTTTTTGTTTTTTATTTGTCCATTTCGTCATTCCCCATACAAAGCGGATTTGAAGTATCCAGTGTGTGCAGTGCCGTGCAGACACCGGCAGTCTGCACAGGGAGGTGTCTGTCAGGATATGCCTGGGCATGTCAGCTGTTTTACAGCTGGTCACACATGGTGTCTACTCACTGAGTGAACTGACCCCTAAGGTCCCAGTGTCACATCAAATAATCATTGATTGAGATTAGCAATAGATTAAATCATATTTGGAGCATTTATTTTCTGCCTATCATTTTGCAGTAATGTTAAATGTGTCGTTTAGTGTACTATAGGTTAATATGCAGTAAGCAGTAAATGTTATAGTTCAGTAATTATATTCATTTTCTCTCTTTTATCTTCTCAGCTGAATGGCCAAAGACACTTACGGGCCTTCCCAGCACATCAGGCACAACAGCCAGCGTAGTGGTCATCCGAGGAACCCGGATGTATGTGGCCCACGTTGGGGACTCGGCAGTGGTTCTAGGGGTCCAGGATGACCCTTCAGACCCGTACATCAGAGCTGTTGAAGTCACACAAGACCACAAACCCGAACTACCCAGAGAGAGGGAGCGCATTGAAGGTCTGGGAGGGAGGTATGGCGATACCCACAAGACACACTGCCTCTGCATAGTATTTAAAAGTAAAATTAACTTTAACAGTGTTCTCTGATGTAGCATGCTTCCTGCACTGGAAAGAGTATTATTGCAGCCTGGCCAGCTTATCATTGCTCAGTACATAAGCATAAATCTAAAAAAAAAAGGAAGTTGGAGATTCCTGTCAAATCTCATAACATTGAATCAAACTGTTGATCATGGACTGTGACAGTAAATTAAAGGTATAAGTTAAAGGACACACTGTAGCAGATGGTGGAAATAAGGGTAAATGTAAGGATATTTCTTGGACTAAGACTAACTCCAGTTTTGTAACAGCTTATACATACTCATGACTCAGCCCCTATCTAAGAGGTGATTGTAACCAAGAAGAATCTGTTTTGCACAATGGAAGATCAAAATGTTATCTACCTGTCTCAAGGGCTAATGTTCTTTTTATACGGCTTGTGGCATGTCTACTGATAAGATGTTGTAGTGATAGTCCCCTGGGTGACTTGACAACAACCAAATAATTATGCTTACATGACGGGGTAAACCCCACAGCTCGAACGGGGATTCATAGTGGTTATGACATTGCAGTGGACCCTACGCGTGTGGCTGTATGTAATTCAGCTTTACTTCATACCGCAATGTACAGAATGCATTTAATTTATTTGTTTTTGGGAATGCCAGAGTGTGGTGTAATAAATAACTAGTATGGAGAAATGCTGCTTAAAATCATATTATGCCAAACATTAGGGCCGCATTACATCAGTGATATTTAGTATACTTTGATATGTTATTATTATTATATGTGTGGGAGGATGCAAAGTTTATTCATCCTACTTCAACTTAACATGTCAATGTTCCCTGTAGTGCACCAACACGTCTGCAAAGTCTGTTAGCTCTCCCTCAATGGGAGCCTTCACTGAATAAAGTTTGAATGTTTTTACAAGATAGGTAATTTGAATTAATTTGAATGTATTGAAAGGATAGCCTCTTCATGTAGTAACTCATGATATATAATAGTAACTACTAATGTGTGTTTTTGTGAAAAAGCATTCAACAGTTCTGCCAGTTTATATTATCAGTGCAATCATACTAATTGCAATAATAAACAATGAAGGAGAGCATCTCTTTATTTTTTTCCAGTTACTCAGTCGTAGTGTTGTTGGAAAATGAGACATGGGGGAAACAGACTTATTTCTTCGTGACATAAGATACAAAGCTGGGATATATTGTCAGATTTTGAAAGACACTATTGCCAGCCTTTGTTGTATTAGTAAAATGTCATTATACACAGCATAAAAATGTTTTGGGATGAGTCTCACCAACCAATTAACTTTCAATCAGGATTAAATCACCTTATTTTAAACCAATTTTTTTTTTTACTTGAAACTGAACAATGTAACCTATATGAAGGCAGGATTTATGGCAGGGATGACATATTAGGCAGCATTAGTTTTAGCTAGTACTTAATAAACTGGCAGCTGAGTGTAATCCTTGTTGTTGCAGCCCACCCTTAATGTCTAAAACTGTGGAACAAAATGTGTGGATGCTTTGCTCAATGTAAGAAGCGGCTTCTCTCTTCTCTTTCCTCCCCAATCTGACAACAGTGTGATCAAGAAATCTGGAGTGAACCGGGTCGTCTGGAAGAGGCCAAGGCTGAGTCACAACGGCCCGGTCCGTCGGAGCACCGTCATTGACCAGATACCGTTCTTGGCAGTAGCACGAGCTCTAGGTAGGAAGAGCAACCATGACAGTAATCTCAATGAATAACAATTCACTATAACAACTTTAAGTTTGATGTAAAACAGTTGAATCCCTCCGACCTCATCGAGGAGAGTGCTTGTCAAGACCAGTGGTGCAAGTTTCTGTTCTCTACAACAGGTGACCTGTGGAGCTATGACTTCTACAGTGGGGAGTTTGTGGTTTCTCCAGAGCCAGACACTAGTGTGGTAACCCTTGACCCCAGAAAACACCGCTACATCATACTGGGCAGCGATGGTCTTTGGAACATGATGCCACCTCAAGAGGCTATCTCTATGTGTCAGAACAATGATGAGGCAATGGTGAGTGGAGCGCTACATCAGCAAAGACTTGTTTCTCTAAATGGTAGGTGACTCTTTAGCTGTGATCATTTTGGATCATAATAGTTAGACGGCTTCCTTTACTATCTGCCTGGATTGTGGTCTGTTGTAGACTAAAGGTTAGATGATCAGAAGGCCTAAAATGATACTTGAATAATAATCTAACAGAGTGATGTCCACCTCATATCAGACCATCTCAGTGTAATAACAGCCTTCCATGCTGCAGGCACCATGTGGGGTATCGAGTGCCCGGCAGCTGGTCAGCCATGCTCTCCTGCGGTGGCGCCAGCGCATGTTGCGTGCTGACAACACCAGCGCCATCGTAATTGCCCTGCAGGAGCCTGGAACCTCCCAGGACACCCTGCACCATGAGGAAGTGCTGCTCGACTTAGCCAAGGTGTCCCAGTGTCCTCCCACCTCCATATCTCGCGCTGACACTCCTCTCCTTCAGGTGAGGGCTGGATAATAACACAACACACTGAAAATAAACCCACAACGCACTATTTCTGTAAAAAATGTTGTGAAAAAGAAATTCCTCAGAATTTAATTTGCACCCATTTCCTAAATAATGGTGCATTCCATTTAGTTTGTTCAGTACACAGAAGTGCTAATAACATTACATTTACATTTATTCATTTAGCTGACGCTGTTATCCAAAGCAGCTTACAATTGCTATACATGTCAGAGATTGCACGCCTCTGGAGCAACTAGGGGTTAAGTGTCTTGCTCAGGGACACAACGGTGGATGGAATTGAACCTGGGTGTCTCACACCAAAGGCATGTCTTATCCATTGCACCATCACCTCCCCATAAACAGTATAAAAACTATAGCTTTCACTAACTGTTGATACTCAGAGCAGCCATCTTGGATCACAAAGTAGGGGTAGGGCCGTTCTCCCGACTTTCCAAGTCAGAAATCCGAGTTAAGGGGGCATTCCCTTTGAAATTTCCAACTTTGAACTCGGAACTTCCGACTTCCCATGTCAAATGGAACGCACGCACCATAATGAACCACAATGTAGGATACTGGGGTATTACTGGGGAGGGGAAGGAGGCTTGTATCTTTAATTTCAAGAAGTGTTGAATTCCTGCATACTGAATGCCTGACCAGGGTTCATGACTGGAGCATTACATTTTCAATAAACGTATGGCTGACATTGTGCGGGAATTTCTTTTACATGGTTTCATTGTCCTACACACCTGTCAACAGCTGGAGCATTACACAACACTTATTCTAACGTTAGACAGATGCCTCTCACATAGGTGTTACTTGTTCACTACAAGTTTTTAGAAGCCATATTTAACCAGATTCTATAAATTAACTGTAATAAAGGAAAGAGCCAATGATGATTCATCTGAAAATGTAGATGATTGGACAGATATTTCACTAACATTACCTGCGCAATTACACATGCAAGAAAAATATGCACACAGGTCCTCCAATTTATTTGAACTAGTACAGTTCCCGTTTTTAGTTGCAGTGCTTGTTGAAAATGTGAAACTCACCTTGGTTTCACCTACAGCATTAATAACACTGAAACAACATGATGGTGAAGGAGATACTGCTAGATATTCAGTGCTTCCTTAGAACTTCATTAGACTCTTACCACTCCATTCGTTTCTTACATATATCAAGCCTGCGTGATGACGATATCTCAGTTTCAACAATTCACTACGTCATCGTAGCGTATAAGCCCCGGCCACGTGAGTGAACCTGCCCTCGCTGCAGAGTGGAGCGGCTCGCTCTGTACTGTAGTTCAGTTTATTCAAAGTTTGTTAATTCTGAATGTGTCACGTGTACAAATTTCACCAAATGCGACACTGCACTCCCTTGGGTCCGCAGAAACACACCCGCCACTTGTGAGGTCGAGTGGATAAACGGTTCATGACTTAATCGAAATATACACACACACAGATTCCTGCTTAATCGAAATATACACACACACACAGATTCCTGCTTTTATTAAAGAGATGGAGGTAGTTTTTAGGCTGCGGGGGCTTCAGGGGTTGCCGAAAAAATGCAGTGACCTGCAGCACAAATATTTTAAGCAGAATTAACTTTTGGAGAAACGCAACCCCCCGCCACACTGTGGTGCCAATCTGGCCACAGTGTTCCACAGCCAGCTTGAAATATCACTGAATAGCACTGCAGCCGTGTTTGTGGCATCCCTGGTGGTTCTGGTAATATCTAAATTTAGCAGTACTGAAGTTTGTCCTCACAGTTTTTTTTAACCTGTTCTTCTGCAGCGGCCTCCAGAGGAAGACTCTCTCTCTGCCATGTGTGAGCTCCTCCCTGCCTTGGAGAGACGGGATGGACTATCAGGAAGAAACAGCCTGTACCACATGAATCTGTCTGACCCGTTCACTTTGACTCCACTGTGTCCAAACGGTAGTACTGAGCTGCCCAGTCAGTCCAGTCCCACTGACAGGACAGTTGGCAAAAGGACGCCCAACAGCAAAAGAACTTCTGACGGATCATCATCACCGTCGTCAGGCCAGTCGGCTAAGAAAGCCCGTCGCAGGACTTCCGACAGGCTGCCACTGGTCCAACACAACGCAGAGAAGAAACAGAAGGAGTCCAGCAACGTCTCCCCTGTTCTGCAGCAGCATAACAAGACCACAGTGTGTGTGTGCTGAAACACACACTGACACATCAACCTGCTGCTTCCCACTGTCAACCTCGTCTCCAGTGGCGTTTCTATTCTCTATGTTTGAAATTCTCCTACACATTCACACAGTTCAAGCCACCCGTGCTCTACAGGTTGTGGAAAGACTTCTTGCTCAGCACCTGTACAATATTCATTTAAAAACTTAAGTTTTCTTTGGAGGAGTGCTCTTTAATAACAGTTGTAAGTATGACTACTGATGTCGGTGTAGATGTTATGCATTTTATAGTTGGGTATTGCAAAGTAAGTAACTGTTCATTGAAAAGAAATATATATATTTTTATACATTCTTTTATTGATCAATGATAACACATGAACATTTTGTTGACCTCCACGACAGCTTTCATCTCCTCCTCACTCTGTCCATATTCCATTGTGTGCACACCCTGTGTTTAAACCTATTAATGTGTTTTTACTCTAATCATTTTATTTAATAACTGGAGATTTGTCTTGAATATAAACTTACGGTGCTGCTACAGTCACAAACCATAAGCTACTACATTGTGTATATTGATATATAAATATATGTAATAAGTGTTTGTAGCATTTTCTTTTTATTTGAGAGTATGCATTTGTCAACACATCTTCCCTGTGAGGTTTCACATGATGGATTTTTAAACATTTGAATTGCACATGGCATCTTAAAGGACAGCTCCACTCTCTTAATCATCTTCCATTGTTGTTATTTGTAATGAAGCGTCAGAGTGTAGTTTTGTGGTGTCTTCACTTCCACTGAGCCTGCTCCACGAATTCATACATCAGGTACTGATTTTCTATGTTTCCGAGAATGCCTTTCAACAGCCCTCTGCTGCGCTGAAGCTTTTGCAGATGTTGGAATGTCTGTATCTGTAATAATGGATTTTGCCCTCCGCGTTTGCTGAACTTCCAGAAGGCTCTAAAACAAAGACTGCCTTTGGTTCTGAGGGATAGACACAAAACCTGATGTTTACAATCAATATTGATGATCATTTTGTGCTGCCAGATTTCCATTGTGGCTGCACTGGAGGTATCAGTGGTGTCATGCTGTCTACGTATGACCATACATCTGTTAGAATGAGAAAAATGCTTCATCACAAGCATGTTGGTCTCTACGCACAGGGTACTGTCCATCCTGCTACCTTGTTTTATCTCGATTGCAACAAGACAATAACTGTTCTTTCTTTTTTCTTGAGGCTGATTGAGAGGTTTCTTTAGCATTCCCCTTATACAAGCCGTCCCTCTTGCTGCAGCTGCAGTTTCATTGTTACTGATGTATGCACAAGGCTCATTTGTGAGTAGATACACTCTGCATGGGCTTTCTAAGAGAATATTTTTGCACTATTATGGTGACCATAATTGTCTTTGAGAAGGGAGTTGTTTTTTCATTTGAAAATGATGCAGCTAGGAATGGATGACATGACTGGAATCTTAAATGAAATGCAGCAAATGAAGGGTGTTTGACGACAAAACATTAAATGATTTTACCTTTAACAAGTAGAAGGGAATCCTGATTAATCTCAGTAGAGTTGGTAGAAGTGGCTGTGCCCCGTTTTGCCGTTTTTATTACACGACAATGTATGATTCAAATGAGGAAATATTTACTGCGAGAGTATAATGACCATTACACAGCTAAGACAGATGTCTCAATCTCTGTAATCTAATGTAATGATGAGGTAGGAAGTTGTAGCAGTATGGATTGGATAAAATGTTGTACAATGTTGATTGACACTGTTGAAGGAATGATAAGGTTCGTGTTTGATATATTCTCTCTACAGTCTGTTACTTGGCTCGGGATCCCCGTATGACTTTTCTATACTATTTTTGAGAATTCTCACAAATCTTAATCTACTTATATTTACTGTTGAATAATGACATCCCTGATTCAGGTGGTTGTGCTAACAGCATAAAGTGCATGTGTACGATGTAAATGTGAAAAACACTTACCTGGAAATGAACCTATTTAAATAAAAAGTTCTCTGACGTAAAGTAATTAATATGCTTTGTAAGTGACTTATTTTTAATTATTAATGCCCTTTGCTGCTTTGGTCTCATGATGAGGATAACACTTTAAATTTTTGTTTGATTACTCAAAGTGTAACTTTCATTTCATTCAAACATTTAACTGCATTTTGATTCAGCCCTCATTTGATACCCATATTGAGAATTATAATTTTTATTTCACCATCCCTCTTTGACATTATCCTTTTTGATAAAGTCCTGAACAAAATATTTTTTCACCACTGTCCCCTTGCTATGACCTGTTTTTTTCCATCGAGAGGTAACACCAGGATGACACAAGCAGGAGACTGGACTAAACAGTGAAAACAGTCGAACGTTTACAAACGTAACTTCCGTTGTGTTTTTTTCCAAACGACAGAACTAAACATTCGAAATAAAAGCATACAAATTTGCCACTTCTCCACAGTATAGGTAACGTTACGTAAATAGTGAAAACAGCGAAAAGGGGGAAGACTATATTAATCCAAAGGATTTTAGAAAAAAAATACAGCAAGTGTGCTTTTACTTCCAACACATTCCGCGATGTTTCACAATAAGAACTTTATTTTGAAAGCAATTGTAGGAAGCCACGAGGTAAAATGTGGCTAGCTTCCTGTAAGTGCTCAATTGTGATTTTTGAGAGCGGGAAGAATTATGGGGGGGGTGATGTGAGCCCAAACATCGTGTGTTGACCAAATTAGTTCATTGTACTGTCTGACCAGTGTTACCAGTTCAACCATGGGTTATGGAAACCGCAGTGAATCAATGTAACGGCGGAAAACGTGGCATTAGCATTAGTTGTTGCTAGGTACTCAGTAATAGGCTAACTTACAGGTGAGTTAAACTGTCTCTCAGGTATCAGGTAAGTTAACGTTAACTTTAGGTGGCAATTTCAGACTTAACACAGACGCAAGAAAGTGAAAGATAACTTTTGTTAATCTGATGGCAAATTCTTAACAGTGTGTTGGTTACGTGAATCTATGTCCTCAATGGAGTACACCATTGGAGGGGTGAAGATCCACTTCCCCTGCAAGGCTTACCCATCCCAGCTGGCCATGATGAATTCAGTGAGTAACACCTTCGCCACTTGATAAACTAACCAGCCAAGTGGACTTTGGTAGCACGTGGGCTTATTATAATGTAAAGGGCATTATTGGGTTGTCACACAAGTAACTTAATAATTAGATAATAAGACATTTGTAAATCTGAAATGAGTGAGTAAGTCACATACATAATTGTGGAATCCCGTACAGACACAAAGAAAACATGTCAACTCCACACAGAAAAGGCCCAGACAGCCTATTCATGTCATTGTCGATCCAAAAGCATGAATCTCTGTGTAATGGCACAGATTGGTGCAGCCTGTAGAACATCAGTCAAACCCCAAGTTATGTGTTCACAAACTAAATGACTAGGACTAACTTACTACATATAAATTGCTGTAGATGGATATGTATATCAGCTTGTTAATTGGTACATGCATGGGAAAGGAGCACATACCCCAGAATGAAACTAAGCTACTAACATTTAATCATTTAGTGATAGTGTTAACAGTTAATCACACACAAATGGACTAGACACAAAGTAAAGGTAACTGCAGAGGCAGGTAACTGACACTGTAAATGTGTTTGCAGATTGTACGAGGGTTGAACTATGGGCAGCACTGTTTGCTGGAGAGTCCCACAGGCAGCGGAAAGAGCCTGGCCTTGCTCTGTTCGGCCCTGGGATGGCAGCAGGCTCAGTTTGGTAAGTCGGCTCTGAATGCGACCAGTGAAACAGAAAACAAACAAAAACAAGTCAAACAAAATGAAAAAGCTCTGGTGCATGGATTAATTAGAGCAGTGTATCCTACGTGGGCAGTGTCACTTGGATGTTTTCTCGTTTGCATGTTTTTTTCATTCTGATTTTCATAAATGACTACATATTAACTTAAGACGGATGACTGATATATGTATTCAAATACAGTTTAAGGGAAAAACAAAAGGCCATAAAACACAAGGAACTGGTTTCCCTCAAATTCTTTAGCCGGAGTGTCAAAAATGCCATCATTAAAACCAAGATCAGATATAAAGAAAACTTGAAAAGAAATTTAGCAACATGAACAGCAGACAAGCATTTCAAAAAGTAAAGACCCTCACTGGATGTGACCAAAAGACCCACCCTTTCCACAGTAACTGACCCAGTCACCATAGCTTGAACACTTTTTAACTCTGTTATTGAGTATTAAGAGATGCTGAGAGCTCCACTCCCTGCACCCTATACACAGAAGGATGTAAGGACATGACTGCTTCCTGGCAAGGGTGCTGAAGGCCTGTGCCATGGAGCTTTCTCCCACTCACTGCGAATCCTAAAAGACCCCAACAGTTCTAACCCTGTGGAAAACATCCACTGTCGTACCAGTGCCAAAGAAATCCCACCCCTGAGAACATAACCACTATGGGCCAGTTGTGCCTGGAAAAACTGGTGCTAAACACCATAATGCTAGCGGTCAGTCTACAGCTGGACCACCACCAGTGTACCTATAAGACCAAGAGGGGAACTGAGGAGGCTGTAGCATCCTGCCATGCAGCAAGATAAAATCTTTTCCCAACAAATATGCATGAGTAAAATGAAGTAAAATCTTTTTTCAGTCCCTTTTCCTCAACATAATAAATATCTGAATAGAAAAATAAAGTGCTATTTTGACTGTGACTCAAACGAATTATATCAATCCTTTATTGAACATTTGTTATATTGTTATTTTCTCTACATGCTGTCTGTCTCCAGCAAGAACAAGTTGTCCCATACTACACACTGCTTCCAAAATGATTGGCCTTCCAACCCCCCGCCCCTCAGATTGCAATGACAGAGCCATCACACTCTGGACACCCCCTCAACCCACTTTTCACTCTATTCCCATCTGGCTGTCGTCCATGCTCTTAATTCCCTAGCTTGCTAACTACAGTTACGCTATGTATTCTGTAATGTATTTATGGAAATGCATCTATGTTCTGGAGGGATACGTTATGCACTCTGTGGACAATAAAATCTTATCGATCGTCTCTATAGTGATATGAGACTAGATGTGGTGTCCACATTACTATTTTCTTGTTTGTAATTAGCATCTGATTTTGTCGATGTGGCCTAGCCTATGTACCGACTGAGATGCGATGTCACTGATAGTTTTATCTGTGTTTCAATGTGTGATGACAGCTAAACTGCAAGAAGGAGGAAGACTTGTGGAGGACAAGAGCCAGTCAGATAAAAACTGTGGAGACTTTAAGAAGTCAGATGTCACCTGTCAGTGTGTGTGCCACAGTGAAGCCAATGGGACCTCAGCTGTAGCTGCAGCTGCAGCAGCCAAACCTGTTGTTGTAGACCTCACTGTGTCACCCTGCAAAGAGACTGTACAGCCTCCACCTCCAGCACCTGAACACAGTAAGTATCTTTTAGTCCAGCATTTATATTTTTGGTAACATTTGAAACATGCATAACTGTTCCTTTTTGCCTAAACCAGTCTCCCCCTTGGCACAATGGTAGTCGGTAATTTCCAATAGATAGACGGATGTTGTTTTTTGCTGGTTTTATTTTACTGGATCTGGACAAAAAGTACTTGCAAACAAAGATATGTATTATATATTTTTTTAAAAACCCGATAAATTATTTTGTGTTTTATATTTCTCATTAAGTTGTGAAGATTTCTTCACGCTTTGACATTAAAGAGTTTTCTTTCTGTTCATCAAGGTTTAAAAAAATATATAGTTACATCCACTGTGATTCAGTGAAACAAATAAAAAGATCCTTTTGTCTCTCCTTTGCCTTTTTAAGCAGCTGCTCTTAGTCGTGGACCGCAATTTCCCCACTGTGGGACAAATAAAGGTTTTCTTATCTTACCTCAATAAACATATTTCTGCTTCAGTTCATACACCATGAGCAAAATCAAGATGTTAGGATACATTTAAGCAGCCATGAATAAAGCCTTTAAAGTAGTATCCAGTATTGCAGTGGTTCCCAGCTTTTTAGTTTAGAGATATCCCACATTCTGTTGCGCTGTTAATGTTTAGGTGGGTTTGGTCAAGTTTTCAATTGTACTACTAGTGGTAGGGTGTTTCAACCATTAGTCCGTTACTTTTGGCTATCTGGTTAAAGTTATCTAAAAGTATGTTAGTGTAAAATAAGAAACACATTTAAACGGTCAGCTTTGGGTGTGGGAACATGTTTTTATTTGAGAGGGCTAGACAGCACTCAACCATTTCCACACTTTAGTTTGGTCACTCAATATAATCCAGACATTTGTATTGCATTGTATGTATTGCTGTTATGTTTCAGTGCCGTTGCCAGAGGAGCCACAGCCCAAGAAAAAGTCTATTGCCTCTCGTCTGTCTGAGAAGTTCCAGTCTGACCGAAGTTCTGCCCGCGAGGAAGACGACGACTTCCAGCCAGATAGGAAACGCATTCGCTCTGCTGAGCACAAGGTAGTCATAGATGTCATAGATTTGTGTGTAATATATTTATTTATATATGTGTGTGTGTGTGTGTGTGTGTTTATACTGTATACACATAATCTATATAATAAAATTGCAATATGAACATCAGCTCATCACAAAAGACTGCCTAATAATAATTTAATAAAAAATATATTTGTATATATTTTATGCTTATCGTTATTCACCAATTCACCAAGTCACCTATGTGTAAACCTACTTGGCAATAAAGCTGATTCTGAAACGTGATGACTAAGAACAATAATGTTTTTTTTCAGGGATCAGAACCAAAACCTAGTATTAAAGTTCCGGTGCTAAAGACTGAAGTATTATCACGATGCACCTGCAGCATCCATTCTTCTCGGCTCTGTCTGCAGTCTCTCATCCACCGCTGTTGTGTTTTACACAAGCACAGTGTGCTAGCTCAACAAATAGTGAATTTTTACAAACAAGTTAAAAAGATAGCTGTGTGTCTGTAGTCTTAACTGTTTAGCTTAGTTTGAGATTAAGCTTAAGACAAGCCAGCCCCTCTTCCCTCTGCCAATGTTACATGCAGGCAGTGAATCTCAGCAGCAGCGGACTAGAGGAGGGACATATCAGACACACAGGGCAAAAAAAGGACACGAAACACCACCATAGAAGATAAAATACATGAGGACAAAATAAAGATACAAGTGTATATAGTGACTTTGCTGTAAACATTACTCTTGCTGCTCTAGAAACAACAACTGAGTAATGTGCTCTGAAATGTACAGCTCCGTGAAGTAAAGATTCTGTGTTTGTCCCTCAGAGTCGTAAAAGACAGCGTCTGGAGCAGGGAGTGGTATTTATAGATGATGAGCCGGAGCTAGAGAATGAGCCTTCAGGACCTCAGAGTTGGACAACAGAGCCTAACAGCCAGGCAGCTGGTTTGTCCTCAGCGTGCTGCGTAAGTACACTCCAGATGTAGAGGCTGAGTTACACCTGCGTAAAAATAACACAATATTGTCCATACAATTAACAACAATTAACAATGGCTGAATTCCATTTAGCTGCTCATTTTCAGTTCTGGAAACGCGCTGTCTCATTATCGCACTGTCATGGCTTGCTGGGACACCTGAGTGGAACAGAGCCATTGTTAATGTTATTTAACACTGGCTCTGTACTATCTGTGCTTTTCCTACTATAAGTCAGAATGTCTGCTGTGAAAAATGACTTTTTTAAATATCAGCAATATGAGAGTGTCATTGTGGATCACCTTTGATGTTTTTATTGATTACCTGTGTGGTGTAGAGCTGATGATTTCTACACTGGTTACCTTGGGTAGGCTTTCAATGTGAATGGGATCTACTTAAACAATCTTTCAACTGTACGGGTTTTATTGTTATGCTGGAGCAGTAACAGCAGCAATGCTTGAAGCAGTAGTATTATAGCAGAAAGTGTAGTTGAAATTGTAGCAGCAGTAATACTCAAAAGTGCACTAGGATGGGGTCAACAGTTAACAGACATGGGGAAAGTACATTACACAGGGATTTAAGCAACATTAAAGATGACAAGGAATCAGTTTCCAGTAAGTAACAACCCAGTTCGAGCCAGTGGAAATAGTTGACCGTGCCTATAAAAACATCCATAGGAGGTCCAATGAAGGTTAAAGTCAAGGGCGACTGGACTTGTTTGAAGATACTGGAAGACGTTTCGTCCCTCATCCAAAGGACTTCTTCAGTTCTGACTGACTGGCAGGGAAACTCAGCTATTTAACCTCAGTGGGGTCGTTTGCCAGGACCGTCGATACTGCTGGTTCGTTAGTGTTCCTGGTTTTTGTACCGACAGTCGTTTTGGTTGTTAGGACTACCTGTGGCCAGGAGCACGGCATCTTCAACTGAGGCCAACAATGGCCCACTGAGGTTAAATAGCTGAGTTTCCCAACCAGTTGAATTCCAGTATCTTCAAACAAGTCCAGTTGCCCTTGACTTTAACCTTCGTTGGATAACTATGACATGGATGACTGAGAATCTTCAGACATCCATAGGAGGGTTTCTTTGAAGCCAGCATTTGCAGCCATTAAAATCTAAAGGAGGTAGATTACAGTTAGTTTTGGACCCCTTATTTTATGGTTTCACCACTGGGTGGCAGTATACTCCACCATATTGAACAAGGCAATGGGGAAAGTTTCAAACAAGTGTGGGCTTGAAGTTGGACAAATTTGAACATAAGTGCTTACATGAAGATAATTCATCCATGAAAACTAAGTACATAAATACAAGGTTAATACAAATGGTATAAATACTATCATACGATGAAAAGCAATCCCACGGGTGGGGGGGGGACTGACTGTGGGCTTGTTTTTACCCATACAGCTCTTATGATTATGATGATACAATTTTTCCTTTTTATGGTTTTGATGAAGTTCAGTAATAGCTTTTTCAAGATGGACTACCCTTTCCTACACAAAATAATTCAATTCAAAACTAAATATATAATGAAATCCATATGCACGACGGAGTTACAACAAGAACAGTTTAGAAGAATTTATATACATTTATTTCAGACTAAAGAGTAGGTTTATTCTCAAATCTCTGTGCCATATAAATATTGGCAATGAAATCAAAAACTTGATCAAGGAGCCCATTGTACATTAAAAAGCCTGTCAGATGACAAATTATTAAGTTGTGGAACCACTGACAGAATGTCCAATTTAAAACGAAGCAGCATCCTTACATTCGAAAACTGCTCGAGGAATAACTGAAATGATTAATCAATTATTAAAATTGCTGCTGATTCATTTTACATGGATCCACTTGTCAGTTAATAGACCTCCTGATTTATTGCAGGCTGAATTAGAACTAAGATTATTTTGAAGCTGGTATCGAGGGTGAAATTCTTGAAAGTTATAAGGAAAATTAAAATTTTGTCACTCAAATGTTGATTCTGTCTGTTATGATTAGAATGTTTGTTTGAACCTCCAGACACAACCAAACCAAGTGCATCAAGTAACACCATGTTTTTAGAGGCATCTAGATGCTGTTTCTGCTGAATAATCCATGTTCCTGAGTTCTGTCCAGGTCCCCAAGACCAACAGGTTAGCCATAATCATTAGACATGCTAAGCCATAAAATGCTGTTGCACAGCTCACAGGAGTGGTTGAACTTTCACAACTGCGTCTTAACTTGCCACAGGTGTGTGGCTTGGATTTAGACCTGTGGATGGTGGGAGGTGGAAAAAGAGGAGGAGGGAAAGTGAAGTCGAAAAAGCGCGCCTGTCTCTGGTTTCCCTGCAGCTACATGACCCGGGCTCTTTTGTCCCGCGAGCGCTGACTGACGGCCTGAATGGGGCCCTTTGAAGCAAGCTCCAGTTTTAATTAAGAGGGTTTGCCTCGCCTGGGCCGCTGATCTGTGAAAGCCACGGGGATAAATATTGAATGGGGTTCACCCGCTGGTTACTGCGCCCGGGGGATAAACAGGTGCTTTGGAGGGCAGATATTTGCCAGGGCCCCTACCTGCACAGTGTGGTCATATCGGTAGGAGGGGGTGTTCGGTGTCATGTCTTCCAAGGTATTGGCTATTGAAGCACACCCTTATTGGAATGAATTCCAAGACCTCGAAAGCTGTGGAATGAGGAGCAAATTGGTGTCCAGTGAGAGGCGCCAGTGATACCTAAGTGATCTACTGCCTGCGGCCCCTCGGTGCCCTTTGACTGGCCCCCCCGGAGTGTGAGATTTCCATCTCTCAGGTGTTGGCAGGGAGTATAGCAACAGAAGCCTACCTGTGAATATTCTGAGGTGTTCAATAACACCACTGACTTCTGTTCTGTCAATTCAAGAAAGCTTTAGCTGCTGCAAACACTTACACCTGGCGGTACAGTACTGTACTAAGTAAACTTAGTTATAGCAGAAGAAACTTAGTCAGCCTGAAGAAACTTTGTATACCAGTCCTACACAGTGTACCTGCAAATGTATATTAATCCCTTATGTTAAGTGTTGTTTGACAAAGTGAATTGTCATTGCTAGCGGCACCCAAGGAGCGACACCAGTGGGATTGTTCTGTGCTGAAAGAACCAGTATGTTCTTGTTGCGAGCAGAGCCGGCGTCCCGTTTGCCCCTTTTGCCAGTTATCTACATTCCTTTCTAGGGGGTGTGTGCTCTGGGCTGTGGGGCCAGGCTTGAAACCTTGTTGTCCTGGCATCTCAGGAGGCAGGCGCGTAAGAAGATACTCTTGTGTCAGCTGTTTCCTGCTGCAGCTTTTGACAAGGGCCTCTATTCATCAGCAAGCCCTTCTACACTACCTCAATCCACCCCGCTCCCCCCACCTGCCAATGAATAAGTAATTATTGCCCATCTTGGGGCAGGAAATTTGGATGGCCCTATTTAATGTGGCGGCAGCAGGTAAGGTGATCGGGCTCAGGGCCCAGGCTGTGGAGCGTAACTGTTCCAGAGGAGAAAGGTAACTTGAACTGGTGTTGGGGCCCTGCAGCACCTCTGTTTATTTTTCACATGGGCTCAGGGCTCGTTATCCCTCTTAACTCTGAGAGACGGCTCTCTTTGGCCTACACTCCATCACACATTGTAATATTTGATGGGCAAACATGCTTGGAAAATCTGAGCCGCCGGGTAACTTGAGCTGCTCGTCTGTCATCAGAAGCGCTACCTTCTGATCCCCATCGTAAGTTGCGATGCGTGACAACACATACCATTCATTCTTATGTGGAAGCATTCAGGTAATTTGTTAAGGATTTAGGGATAAACATGTTTTCCAAGCTTTTGAGTTATGTTTATTCAATATTAACAAAAATATGGTAATCTCTATAGAAAAAGGCCAGAGTCTAAAGACAATACCATGCAGTGGACAAGGTGTGCATATCAGTGTTCATCTTTAGGTATCATGTCATTAGCTGTTTAACAATTGATAGTGCCACAATATCAACATCTTTCTCAAGGCTCACCCAACAGTTAATCTAATTTCAAGAGGTCACCAACCTATTGTTATTTCAATCAAAAGACAATGATGAGTGGACAGTCTTCTCCTTAGTTGTCGTGTTAGTGGAGACCGACACAGAAGAGACTGTTCTCTTGTGATATGATTTAAGACAAGATACTTTGTTACTTCTGCTAAAGAAGTGGGCCACGTGAATAAAATCCTCTTTCAGCGGATATGTCATTTTAAATTTAACTATATATAATATATATTATCCTATAGTTAAGTTTCTGGAAACTGTTTATGTATAAAACAACCAGGATTGCTGCGTAATCACGCAAAAAAAAAAAAAAAAAACACACACCCACACATAAAATACTGAATAATATTTACGGATTATGTAGATAAGAACTCACAATAGCTTTTGAGCTCTCCTCACAGGAATTTTTGTTCTCCTCAAACTCTACTAGGTGCTTCTGCTTGAGGCGGTGAAAAAACTTTGTGGTATTGCCCCCTTTTGTTGTTGACAAATGTATCTCACTGTATATAGTAGGCTATATCTTTATCTTGCCCAAGCCTACGCTTTGATAATTATCAGTCGTTAGTCATTTATATTTGATTAAATGTTCACAGTGTAAGAGCTAGGAACCTTGTGACATATGGGTACCATCTATCCCAGATGGATACAGAATCAACTTTAAAGTGTTTTTTAAGATGTGTATATAATGTACAGCAAGATCTGTCTGCTAGTCTTTTGATATTTCTTGTAAGTCACTTCATTGAATCTATATGTACCTAAAATTGTAGTGTAGCTGTAATTGTTGTAGAACAGTTTAAATAGAATTTATAGATTCTATGTCTCTGTACATTCAAAGTGTGGTTTCTTTCTGCAAGAAGGCATTGTTTACTGTCGTTTACACTAAAATAAGGCCTGTTTTAACAAACAGAGCATAGAAAATGCTTCCAGTAAAGGCAAGAGAAAAGTGAACAATTTCAATCAAATGCACATAAGATCAACCACAGGCTGGTTACATGTGGATAGTTCTTCTAGAGGAGTGAAAAAATAAATGGTTAGTGCAAACTAATATATGTGAATTTTAATAATAATAATATGTGATTTTTGTACTACTTTTTATATATTTTTTTATTTTAAACACACAACTGAATTTGATAAAAATATGAAAAGAAGTTAATGAACCCTATTGAAGTGTTATATACACCAGATATACAGTACATAAATTACAACTAATACTACTGCTACTACTGCTGATAATATTGATAATGATGAAACTTCAATTATATTATAGCTCCAGAACTGGATTTGAGAAGCCTGTGATTGGATGGTGTATGTGAGCCACTGAATGGTTAGAGTACACCACTTAAAAGAGCTCAACACATAAGCAGGATCAGTTTCATAAACGTTACCGGCTACACTTCACCTGTAAGGGGGGGGGGGGGAATCCACCACGTCACTGGATGGCCAATTATGAAGCAGCTAGATTTTCTCAGCCGCCACAATGGTGGCATATCATCTTTCAGACTCAAAAGGTCACCTGGTGCAGAGTGACAGGACACCTTTATGTATGGATGCAAATTCTTTTCCATGTATTTTTCAAAACGTACACAAGACAGTCTGTCAAAAAGCCTATTCAGGCAGTGGATAATAATAGTGATGAGTTGGTAGCATTGTGCACCGTAATACACTGAAGAGCCAAATGTCCTAAGAAAATAACTAACAATAAAGAGGAACATTTTGTCACAGTTGTATGTTGCATACCTCACATGAGATCTATTTTAAACTTTGAAACTCATTGATGCAATCCAGAATTACCATTAAAAGATGAGATTTAAGATAGTAATTTAACAATGTCAATGTTAATAAATGAGTACCACTGTTGGTTAGGCCTTTAGAAATACACGGCAAGCCAACCTTATCATTAACTAAACAATGCACCATGTGTTGTGGTTGTTTTGACATGCATAGGTCATTTAATGGCACAGTGGTAGCCCTTGGGTATACACACTGATTGTGTCATCTCTACATGCATGGAATTCATTCAGCACAGCTCTAAAGTTGTAGTGGTGTTATGTCATTAACCAAACAAGGTCTGGGACTTCAATGCAATCAAACTGCAAACTGCCTCTCAGTATTTGTTTCTTTATCCTTATCCAGTCTCCGGAACCCTGCTCCCAGTGCCTGTGTGCTTCGACCAAACAGGGTGTGAAGGACAAAGACAACGATGGCAAAAAGAAGATTCCTAAGATCTTTTTTGGCACTCGCACACACAAACAGATAACTCAGATCGCCCACGAGCTGAAGCGCACTGTTTACTCCAGTGTGCCCATGACCATCTTATCCAGCAGAGATCACACCTGTGTCAACCCCGAGGTGGCACCTCACTCCAACCGCAATGAACGCTGCAAGGACCTGCTGGACGCCAAAGATGTGAGCACAAACACTGACAGCAACACACAGATTCACATTAAGCCTATTTTTTACTTTTTGTATCGAATAGTCCCTGTAAGATTTACGGGTGGCTGAGATCCTGAGAGAACAGCAGCTGTAACCCATATGCATTCAGATTGAATGCATACTGTATGGGTCACAAGCTAATGTGACCCATATCCAACATCTGCTACATCTGTAAAGCTTGTGCCTCTTATGTAGAGTATAATTGTTATAATTTGTCTCATATGCAAAGAGATGGATCTCTAGGATCAAGGTGCACACTGCAAAGAAACCCCTTAAGTCCGTACCTAACAGACTCATTTAAGACTTCACATGAAGACAAATCATGAAGGGTTAAAGGCAATCTCCATCATATCATTTGAACCATTATGCTTTATTAAAAGGACATTGTCGGCCCGTAAGCTAACTGACCTATCATCTAATTCCTCCATAAAATAATTTATCAGTCATAAATATGTAATAAGTAAGAAGTAAGTCTTCACAGAAGTACAGCTGTGCACTATTGCTAGCAGGGGTGTGATGATACACTTAGCTAACGAGACGATACACGACTTACTGTAGAAAATTAGGGCATGGTGGAAATGTTGGTCAGAGTTGGAGAGGAGTTTGTTGTATAGGAGTAATAAAGTCATGCTAGCAGTTCATCTATGTTCCCAACAAACTCCCCTCTCTCATTTTTCACTGGTGTTTCCGTTGCTATAGTGCATAACTTAGACATGCTTAACCCCCCCTTATTCACAGTGAACTATTCTGGAATTGAATTGGACTTTCTTGAACCAGGATTGACCCTTGTCTAGCTGTGAAAACCAGTTCCTCATGACACACACTTTCTCCACAGAATGAAACTTTTATCCAGTGGCTCCAATAGCTAGTAAATGACAACAGAAAACAGACACAGCATTTTATTACAACTTTTTGTTCCCAATTGATTTCTCTCACTCACACACATACTCCCTTGACCTGACACCATCATGTACTGTGAATAGACCTTTGCTACAGAGTTTTGCAGTCACCCTGTAACAGAAACCCACAGGTAACCACCACTACCAGACACAACTCTTTTAACAAGGTAGCCTTAGAGCAGCAATTATGCTGATACAATAGCTGCAGTTGGTGCAGCAGGCTCTTTCTGACACACTAAAATGTCATGAACCATTGAGAGAGCCATGGTGACACATGTAACCCCCTATACTGTCCTAAAGCTGAGGCGCCTACTGTAATGAGGACAATTATGCTGTCATTAGGTGTTTGCCTCCCATGGCAATTGTCTCACTTTGTCATATGAAATAACCGGCCCAGTCATAACTCCTCACTTGAGTGGGCGTTACTGATGCTCTGTGTCTTCATCACCTCAGGGTCTAGTCTACTTGGTGTCATGTTACCATGCTGTAGAGACGTACAGTGATTCGTACACACAAACTTCAGCTAATGGCGACTTCAGTCAAAACACCTGCCCTCCTTTTTCGACGGTGCTGTAGCTGTCCTGGCTTTTCTAAACGTGTCTGGGTGGCCGTTAATCCCCCCCAACTCTCCTTTCACTGAGTAGACAGGGTTCAGAAGTAGATCATTTCATCCAGAGATTATTGTGTCTGGAGGTTACCGAGTCCACCAGCGTACAGTATTTGTGTGTGACAGTGTCACCTCAAGCTGTTAAATACATAAAGAACAGGGTGGGACATCTAAAGCAGACACCTCTTTTGACAGAATAATTGGGGCTTGGTACATGAGATGCTGCTTCTTCACACATCTTCTACATTCAATGTATGAGTGTCAGGACATGTAAAGCACTACAATAGCTGGAACACCTGATCACAGGCACCATCTGAAATACTGTACGTCACCTCTGGTTAAATTGGAAACTAGAGATAAGTAAAGATATATAACAGTCCAGAAATATAAGAAACTCTAATATTACATATTTGTAACTGTTTAGTTTGGATAAATAATGTATGTATTTATTTATAATTTTTTTTATGCAGTTTAAATTTACAGGGACAATGCACATTAATAGATATTTCTGTAAATGTGCCAATTTAACCAACGTGTCTAATTTTTGACTGCAGTCCCTGGGCAGCTACAGTATATACGCATTAAATACTTTAAAATAAGAACAACAATATATAAAACATAAAACAAAGCACGTTAGAGATTATGGTCACACACTTGATTGTCTTTTAACCATGATTTTATATCCATTTTAAATGAACAATATATTTCAGTCTCTGATAATTGTTGGCAGTCTGTTCCACGTGTGAGCTGCTCTCACTGAAAAAGCTGGGTGTCGTCCTCATGGTATTACACAGTCCCCTAAATAGGAAGATGTAAGCTTTTGAAGACTGTTATTAACAGTTTTAGTCTCGCTTTTTTTTTTTTTTTTTTTTAACAATGTTGCTATTAGTTTATAGTTTGTATTGATTTTCAACATGTTTTCATACAATTTTAATACCAAACATTTAAAGGTTTCAGTGTTTTCTCATATTCTTGGCAGAATGGAAAAAGATGTTATAACATTTAACTTTTAGACAATAGTACATCAAAGCTATCATTTGAAATACAAAGATAACAATAATTAATTGATGTGCATATGTTAATAAACAAGATTTCAAGATAATCGTCAGTAGAAAAAATTCTAAAATTCACTTAGTCCAGGTTGTCACACATGCACACGTGAATATTTTCTGTTGGTTTTAGTCTTCTATGATAGTACATTGAACATGTTTGAGTTTGGACTGATTGTTGGACAAAGCAAAACATTTGAAGATGTCAACTTAGGCTTTGATAAAATGTAAGTGGCATTTTATTTTCTGAAATTTTATTGACTAAACCACTTAGCTTATTAGAAAAATAATCAACAGGTTAATCCATCAAGAAAAAAGTAGGAGTAAATACTGTGTGTAGTTTTGATCCACTCTGTATTAGGTCTGTATTATGTCTGTCTGGTAGGTGAGTGAAGTAAGAACTTGTGGGACAGCAATGGAAAAATGGGCGGAGCTGATTGTCTTTCATGTCTCTACTGATAATTGATCATTTTGTAGTTTTACAGTTTGCTACACTGTACGTATTGTGATCCTTTAATTTCTATATTATTATAATGACCGTGCACTGTTTAGCTGTGTGTTTTATCTGAATTTGTGCCAAACACTTCTCTGCTCCACCTTTTGCTTTCTAATAGCTGAAACAAGACGGAGCCCCTTTGAGGGCCTGAGCATCTTGGCCTGTCCAACAAGCGTTCTCCATTATTCTAGTAGAAGTTGTAGTAATAATAGTAGTTGTCTTCTTTGTGATACAACGGCACATCTTCTTGACATTTCACGATTGACAGCATTCCTGGCAAACCTTAAACCTTAAAGGTGCCTGGAAGTTTCATTTGGTATCATTTCTTGAGCAGAGCCCAAATTTAGTTTTAGGAATTCTCCGCCAAAGCATGTGGAGATCTATGGCAACAAGCCCAAAACCTGTGACAATGGCTGCAAGTTGTATTCCGTTAAGTTCCTGCATTGAAAATAGACTTTATGTAATCAACATATACTATATGTTATCCATCAAATACTGATGACTTTGAGTTACTCAGTCCCTAATAAACAAACCTTATATTGGCAGTATTATACCTTGTTCTAATCCTATCCTATCACAATGGATATTACAGGGCAGGTCATGCCACTACTACCATGGTGTTCAGAGGATGCGGGACCAGTACATGCTACAGAAGGTCCATGGAATGCATGGAGCCTGGGACATTGAGGACCTGGCCACACTGGGCAAACGGCTCCGGTCATGCTCCTACTATGCTGCACGTGAGCTTATGCAAGGCGCCTCCATCATCTTCTGCCCGTACAACTACCTGCTGGACCCATTGATCCGGGAGAGTGTGAGTAGAGTTTGGAAGAGAAGATGGAGGAATTGTAGAATAATCAGGGGAAAAAAGTTGCAGGGGAAAAGACGAGATGAGATGGGTTTAGTTCTTAACAATGAACCAGATCATATAGAGATTAACCACTCCCTCCTCTCTTCTTTCAATCTCTATTTTCACCAGATGGACATCAACCTGGCAGGCCAGATCTTGGTGCTGGATGAGGCCCACAACATTGAGGACTGTGCAAGGGAGAGTGCCAGCTTCACCTTGAACCTCAACAGTCTGCTGATGTCCAGGGATGAGCTCGACGGCATGGTCAACAGCAACATCAGACGCTCCAAACACGAGCCACTCAGGAACTTCTGCTATAGCCTGATCAAGTCAGTGATTCACTGGCTTAGTTTCTGCTCATCTGATCATTTCAGTAGGTATCTACTAAGGATGTTTTGTGTCCCTGGTGTAGCTGGATCCAGGAGAGCCAAAGCCTGATGTCTGAACGGGGATATGAGAGTGCCTCTAAAGTTTGGAGTGGGAAGGATATACTGCCCATCTTTCACAGTCTGGGCATCACTGCTGACACCTTTAGCAATCTGAAGGTACTCCAAATATCTTTGCTTTACTTGCCGGCCTTTGACATTTACCACACCCTGACTGTACACATTCAGCCATGACTTCAGTACTTTCTCATAATTTGCCTGAATACTGTTGATATTATTATTATTATTATTATTAGCAGCTTCAACAAACCGAAACATCGTCCCAGTTCAAATGTCCACCCTAAGCACTGAACCCTCACAGACTTTGGTTGATGTCACCAGTGTGATCTGAGTATGTGTGAGTGCAGGAGGGTGTAAGGGCCCCAATCACTGCGTGTAATGGTAAAGTCCGCTTTACAATCATGTTTATTGACCATGGAAACAATACCGCTGGTGTGAAATCAGCTCCAATATGGTTTCATTTGTTTATGGTAAAAGTACTAGGATGCGATAGTTCTTGTAAAAGGTGTATTTTTATTATTTGATTATTTGCTGTGTGTTTTGTTTTTTTACACGTGCAGCAAAACTTGGCAGCAGTGTTGGAGAAAGAGGAGCGTGTTGGTTTGGTTAATGGTAAAGAGGATATGGTGCCTGTCCCAACCATCAGCTCAGCTACCTCCACTGTCCTCAAAAGCCTCTTCATGGTGCTGGACTACCTCTACAGGGACAACTCCAGGTCAGAGACAAACCAAAGACGTCAGCTAGACCAAAATCCAAAGTCCTACCGGTTCCTCAGATGAAGTGTTGTATAGAGTATAGAATTGAACGATCGCTCAGTTGTTCTCTGTGTCTGTAGGTTTGCTGAAGACTACCGGGTAGCTCTGCAGAAGAGCTATGCTTGGACGAACCAGGTCCCACCTGATGTCCCTGATGCCCAGGGCTTTTTAGTTAGGCCACACCAACGCCAGAGACAACGCCAGAGCATCCGAGTCAAGGCAGAAATCCTGACACTAAGCTTCTGGTGCCTCAACCCTGCTGTGGTGAGAGGTTAGATGTGGCAGACCCTGCCATATAGGTCACAATAATATATTACTGAGGTCTATAAATATAAGTAATTAATGACTTGAGTGTGAAACTACGGTTGATTAGTAAAATACATCATAAATTACCGCTGAAACAACCCTCGGAGGTTCATTGTGTTTGTGTCTGTATTTCACAGGCTTTCTCTGACTTGAGTGGCACAGTGCACAGCATTGTGCTGACATCAGGGACCCTGTCACCCATGGGCTCCTTCTCCTCTGAACTTGGGGTGAAATTCTCCATCCAGCTGGAGGCCAACCATGTTATTAACAAGTCCCAGGTCAGTAGTGGTACCCATGTCACTGAGACTCTGGCAACATTGGAACTTGTGGATGACTTTTCTAACAAAGTGTATATTTAGTGAGTGTTTAATGTGTTTAAAATGTTTCCTTCTCAATTTAATAAGATGTCTCTATGATTTGAACTTCAATTGAAATCCCTATGCATCCTGAAACCTACATCTCAGAAAGTCTCCATCAGTCTCAGTCAAAATGAGGTCCAGGTCTTTGAATGGTTAATCAGAATGGGAAAGTAGAGCTGTGTCTGATTTTAGTACTAACACAGACACAGCTCTACTTTCCCACTCTGAGTTAAGTTCAAATCATAAATCAGAGTCATTAAATTAAATTGACAATGTAGACGTCCAATAATCATGCAGTGGGACACAGCACCTAGCCAGTGTTGCTGTAAAAACACTCACTAAAATATACACTTTGTCAGAAAAGCCACAAAATCCATATGTTGTAATATTGCCATCAGCTTAGTGTCTGAGGACAACAGAGCCACTGTTGTCCTGCAGATGTCACTATTTGATTAACAATTTGATCACAATAAAACAGTCTAGACACTGAATTGGCGAGAAAACATTTTTGCAATAATCACAGCTTTTATATCAGTAGAGCTGACTAATGTTAAACATGATATACGATATGTTGCAGATTAGGTCACAGATCATAACTGGTGGGTTGGACTCAAGACAAGCAAATCTTGATAAACGTATGACTCTGTGTCAGCACTAATCCCTGGTGCAATATGTCTTTTTAAAGGCTTGTAATGATAGCAGGAGATATTTGTTTTTGGACCTTTGATAACAACCTTTATGGGCCAACATGATAATGCTCTCCTCGTCCTCCACATGTCCAGCTGTCAGTGTTTAATGTCCTTAGGTAAGACACAGAAACCGATGGTTGGTGGTTGGAGTATCAGCAAAAAAGTGACTCCAGATTTCTAATGCCCTCTCTTCAGGTTTGGGTGGGCACTATTGGTGCAGGACCCCAGGGCAGAAAACTCTGTGCCACATTCCAACATACCGAAACGTATGCCTTCCAGGACGAGGTGGGTGCGCTGCTGCTCCATGTGTGCCAGGTCGTGGCCAAGGGTGTGCTCTGCTTTTTGCCTTCTTACAAGGTAATTATACCACTAACGCATACTCTACTGAAACAGGAAGAATAGTTACTGGTCTGAAGGAATAAGATGCGATTGGGCCATGTTAGTTACTGTCATAAATAAGTTGCAAACAGTCCTACATAGGTCATTTCTATAAAATACTGACTATAAAACCCACATGTTGTAATGCAATCCAAAAAACAATCAGATTTGTTGCTGTTTTGATGTTTGATTTGTTGATTCAAGACTACAGTAACTTTTGAGACTCGTGTTTGGGCTGTTGATGTATTATTGAATTATACCTCTAAACATTATTGTCTTCACCCTTTCCCTCCTTGTACTCCTTGCTTGAAATGTGCTATACAAACTTCATTTATCAGGTTTCACATCCCAGGCTCAGTGGGCTAGACCAAATAGACGGACCACACAGGATTTAAACTCATTTTTAGAAATCTTTTATTGGAAACTGAGACAAAAGCACCCTAATAAATGAATCTGTAGTTGGTAAATCAGTGGTGGCTGCAATATGTATGTGGGGTTTTGTGGAAGTAAAACAAAGAGGAAAACCAAAAGGGTAGATGGTGATGGTGAGAGAGAGACATAAATATGTTTAAAACTGTTTACTGTTGTCTTTATCTTGGTTGTGCCGAGCAACTGAACACCCCTGACATGCTTTCAAATTTATACTAAAAATAATTCTTTACATTGTAGTGGAGTGGTGATGGATTGTTTGCAGTTAAAACATTTCCACATTTCACCACTGGGAGGTGCTAGAGACCACAAATTGAAGTCATGTTCAATGCTTTTCTGGTTCGAAGGTATTTCTTATTAACTTGCACCATGCAAAGCAAGCTAACAGTTTTCAAAGCCTACACTGGATTCCAATAGATCCCACTGCTAAGAGGCAGCTGTTGGCAGTGTCATATGTTACAATAGATGACTACTAATCAATAGAGGTACTTGTCAAGTACTTGTTAAATGCCGTCATCCCCACAAAACTGTATCCTCTTTCAGTTAATGAGGGCGCTTCTGAGAGCGCACTCATGGACACTTTGTCCCCCTTTGTTTGTTATGCATTTTTGGTCATGAATAATTAATGTCTACTGTAGCTCAGTTGTCACATTAGCTTACTAAGGGTCAAGTGGATTATCATTGTGTTTGTCCACATTGAACATGTTATGTGTTACTTTGGTCAATTATACATTTTGGTCAATGAACTTACTATGGGAAACAATACATGTGAGTTTAAAGTCATTATGAAAAAAATAATCATTTGATTCTTTGTATTATAATGCAGAGGTTCCCTACCCCTTAAAATTAAGCAATTACCGTTCTGTCACTGGTTGCAGTGTGTATGGATTATAACCAGTTTTGCAGTTATTCACTGGAAAAATGGTAATGCAGTAGAGACAAATGAAACATTTAAATAATTCATGTATTTTACTTAGTTTTTCCCCCTGATTTTTAATATTGTTAATTATCATGCAAACCCCTCAAACATACCTAAACATTGAATCATAGACTGTGTTTCTATGAATTTACCTTACACGTCTTTATCATTTAGAATATCATTTAGAATTAAACATTACAGCAGTGAAAAAACTTGTCTGCTTTTCCTAACACTCTACAGTTGTGTCTCAGTAGCTACATATTATTTTTTAAAGCTCATGATTATATATCTACATAAGGCATTTTGAACTTCTGAACCGCTTCTCTCCACACTCACTTCCTTTTTCAAATGGAAATACAATAATAATAATAATTATGATGAAAGCCAAGCATCACTGACACACTGGGATTTGCTGTTATGGGTCATTGTCATGTTAAAGGTGACACATCATTATCCATCAAACGGTGGACCTTTTTCAATTGTGTTTTGCCCTTAGCGTATTTTATTTTTGCCTTTGGCAAATTTGCGTGGCTTGCGTTTGACTTGTATTTCAACGTGTCACATGCCGTGTTCATTGGTTTGATTTCTCTGCAGTCCTTGTTTGCCTGCGATCCAGTTGCATTCTCAAACAGGTGATGACAGAAGCTAAGACCCTGGGCCTTGTTGTTTTCTCATTTTACCTTCCTTTTTGTCAGCCTGTGATGCCAGTCAAGGAGCGACTATGAGCTGTGGGATGTTTTTTTTTTTTTTTTTTTTATTGATAGCCATGTAGGAGTCTTCTATCTTTCTCTCTATGCTGATGCATAAATATTTAATCTGCAGTCAGCTCTTAAAGATGAGGAGATGAGGGGATATGAAGGGCTGGGGTATTAATTGGAGCCCATGGAGGCCTTGTTGGTGCCGCTGAGTCCCGTCTGCCCTGCGATGTGTGTGTTTGTGTGTGTGCAGGCAACACAGAGAGGATAGGTCATCTCCAGACATGCCTGTTCAGGGTGTCTAGGTGATGGCTATCAGGCCCAGGCTCAGTGATAGACAGAGAGAGCAGTGAGGCGAACAGGCCTGCACGGTCAAGGAGGTGTACCTCAAGGCTCTGTTCACTTCCCTCACATACACATAAAGTACACAGGATGCATTTGCACTGTTTAAGCTTAATTATCTTCTTAAGAAAGATAGAATGACAACATATAAGTAGTTAAATCAGGAATAAAATCCATTTAAATCTGTTTGCTCTCTATTTAAGGTTGCTGTTGAATGAATTAAGTGTATTGTCATTTCTTTAACTAAGATGGTCATTTCCCAGCAGTGGCGTTGGTGCATTTCAGTCAAACGAGTGCAAAGAAAACTCAAGAGAATGTTGGGCATTAGCACACAGCTCAATAAAAAAAAAATACGCACGCACAAAGTATGTCTGTAATAATGGTCACACACTCACTTTCCCGGAGAGCCTGCACCGGTGCTGTGGTTTTGTAGCACTTTAGCCTCAACAACCCCCCAGTTAATGCCTATTAAAACCACAGCGGGCCCTGCCGTCTGGTCCTAGCCGCCAAAGAAAGGGACCAATGCTCCACTGGAGAGGGGGACTGATAGTTTATTTTAAAAATTTTTTTTAAAAAAGCAGGGTTTTGCAGAGGTGAAAAGATGGCGGGGAATACAAGATGCTTTTAAAGGAGATTGAGATAAGGGCCATTAGGTGATGTCGCCTCGCTGTCTGTGTGAAGACGCACCCAGCGCTGGCGCCTGGGCTCTGCTGAGCGCGTGTCAAATCAAAGTCAAACTGGGCTGCAGGGCGTACACCCACCAGCACGCACTGTCCTCAGCAGCTCAGGGGCATCTGAAGCACCAATCACACAGCTCCAGAGGTACTGTTAATTTCAAAGTCAGACTGTTTCTGTCTGTGTTTGGGAGCATATTAGATTCATGGGTCAATTTGCCCAGTGTAGCATATCCTTCCTGATATTTTTAGAGCTCAGGTGATGTTTTATATGAGTTTTTACAGTGGAAACTTCAGGGTTACTGTAGTACTAAGCCGGGGCTTTTTTAGGAGTCTTAGCGTTTCAGACTTAAATAACACAGGTCAAAAAGCCTCAGTCACCTCTTTGTTCTGCTGATGCCTCATTCAACCACACAAGCAATTTGTGGCTGTCATTGTGTTTGAAATATAATTAAACATGACACGGAAACTTCAGAGATGATATAAGAACAAATGTAAGGTTGCAACAATTAATCTGTTGGTTATTAATCACTTAATCATTCAATCTAAAAATTCATTCCAACTTCCCAGAGTCCAAGATGTCTTTGAGTAGCTTGTTTTATCAGATCAGGAGTCCAAGTCTTAAATTTGAGGAACTGCAATCAGTGAATCTTTGATGTTTTTGCTACAAAAATAACTTTAATGATTAATCAATTTTCAAAGTAGTTGGCAGTTGATCATCTAATTGTTTTAGCTCAGTATGAATTATTTGATAAAGCAAACAGTATGGGCTAATTGAGTAGCTAACTATATACACTGTTTGCATAAGTGAATGTAATACTGCAACAATGTTAAACAATAAGGCTGGTGATATTGTACATTTTTCTTATTTTCAACAAATCCCATGAAACGATCAAAACCAACAATGAATTGATTGTTGTCCAAAGCCTAATATATTTTCTTCCTGTGTGCAATAGAGCTCCATTGTTGTCCAAAAACTATCAATGAGCCACACTGTTGCACTGTGGGACATCTTCCTTCATTACCATGAACACACACACTGTAGTTTGACTCAACCCCACACAATCATGGACTCCTGTTTGAGTAACATTTGGTAAAAACTGAAGTTCCCAGCAAAGTTACTAAGCATTTTAAATAAAATGAACCATTAGTATAGTATATACTAGTAGTGACCATTTTAAAGATTTACATCTTCAGTAGGAACCATGGCTGATGGGACAGCAAAACGAGAAAGTACTGAGACTATTTTCGTCTTGTCATGGGATTTCTCAACAATAAGAAAAATATGGAATATTGTCTGCCTTATCCTTTAAGATTATTAGGAGGGCTTTGCAAGTGTTATCTTTGTCTATTTTTTCTAATAACAGGGTTTTGTTATGTCATGTGGCAAATTATCATTCTTTGTTTTCACTGCATTTGATTGACGTTCTATTAAATTTTGCCAAGTTATCTGACCTGTTGTAGAGGAGTAATTATTTTATTCACAAATAATACTGCTGTAATTTTACACATTGTAGAAAGATATATTTGGAATAACAAATCTGCTTAATCTAAAGTAAAGTCAATTTTATTTACACTTTACTGTAGATTAAACTCAGTTTAATCCTTATTTTTTTAAAAGAAGTAAAGTAAGCCCTATCAGTGACGTCTTCTTCTCTGGGCAGCAGTCAGTGTTTTTGCAGCGTTCCGTTGTCACCACTAGTGTTGCTGGGATGTGTAGAGCAGACAACAAGGGAAGAGTGGCTGGCCAGAGGTGGCAGGTGGCTTCTTGCCACCAGTCTTGGCGTGATGGTTGCTGTGATATTTTGGGGCTGAATAATTTACACCGCAACAACACGCCTTCCCTCGCCACTGTGAAATGTGGCTCCTGGCTGCATGTTTCATTAATGCCGTCGCCTCCAAAACCCTTCCATAATTCAA